TGCATTCAGTCAGAATTATTCACTGCATTACCCACGATTCATAGCATGTATTAACACAAGCAATTTCATGCATATGACTACAGTGGGTCTCAGCAGGGGGGAATCTAATTGCTTTGAAACTAATTTCACAATCATTAGTTTTGGTGGTGATGTGACTGACAGTGTTTTTACTAAATTTTGGAAACTGGACTTGTTTCACATGTTGTGCACTGAAAACTACAAAGAAAAATGACTGATTTACTACATGGGCAGCTCTTTGCTCAGGACATAATGTTCACTGACAGTTTATATTTTCAAAGAAATTTCTCTTGCACCGTAACAAAATGCTCAAAGAATGAATGACAGCAATACTTTTATTTCTTGTGCAAGTTTTTGGACCAATCCCGGAGAGAAAATGATAGGTCTTTTGTAAATACATTCTAACAGCTTAAGGTGCAGGCCAAACTGAAAGCCATTTAGCCTCAAGGTGAAGTTAATGATCCATTACCAAGTGCCACATGCTTTCCATATGTAAGATGAGGAGATATTTTGCAAAGCCACTGAATCAACCTAATGCTGTTATGGGCCATTGTTCACAATAAACATGTAAATTGTGTTTAGGGAATAGCACACAAGTCAGTGGGTTAATGGCACCGATTCAAGAATAAATTATAATCACAGAGTGATGGCTGTTTGCTAAACAAGAAAAACAACTGAAAGCATGCAGATAAAGTACAAGGAGATAAAAATTAAAAGTTAATAAAAAAATTAAAATAAAATGTCATTAAATTAATGCTGATCCTATTTGATTTGACAATATAGAGACAAAAAGCAAAAAAAAAAATACATACATATATATATATTTATTTTTAACTCATTATTTTTATTTAATGCACACAAAATAAGAATTAGTAATAGAAAATTGTTACTAATTTAACATTAGCAAAATTCTGAATACATGTTGAGAACCAATAATTTTCCCTCAATCAACAAAACTCAGCTGAGGTGAAAGAGCCATAAGAAATGTTGTAGTGACAAAATAAAGCCGCGAGGTGGCGGTATGTCATCACCTCAACATTCATTTTACTTTTAGTTTGGATCTGAAGAGAAATGTCCAGAGTATTTTATGTAGAATGGTAATGTTAATTTTTGAAGCTTGGCAGTGAGATTTTAATCAAATGGAAAACTCTCAGCACACCCAGGAACATTTTGACATGTTACAACCTCTGACTTCAAAGTGTTTTATTAGGATTTTGTAACAGACCAACAAAAAAAGTGCATAATTGTGAAGTGGAATGAAAAAACTGTTATCAACATTTTTTTCAACCTTCTTTAATATTATGCTCCTTAATCAAATAGAGTGGTATCTCTTTATTTGAGAAGGTAAGTAAAAGCTACTTTGAGTTCTCATGTGTGTTATTTAATCTCAGTCCAAATCTAGCTGGTCTGTGAAGGCCTCCTGGGTTTTCTGGAGAATATTAAAGAACAAACATCATTATGAAATTGAAAGAACAATTAAGCAAGTTGTCCCAACATTTGACAATCTCATACAGCACCGTTCAATTCATAATCTGACAATGGAAAGAGTAAATCAAAAGTGGAAACTTATCAGAAAATGATCGCACATTTAGAGATCCACAGCTCAGATGGAAGAAATCGTAAACAGGACTGCTATAAATTTGGAACATGTCTATGAAACACATAAAGTGAGTTTTATACAGCAGTGTCAAGAAGAAAGATGTTGCTGCCAGCAAGATTTTAGAAAGTTTGCAGTTTGACAAACACATAGGGAAAATGATAAACTTAAAAAAAGAATGTTTTCTGGTGAAATGAGATCAGAAATTGATTTTGGGGGTGGGGGTTTACATCTAAAACACTATATGATGGAAACTATACATCATTCTCACATTGTAAGGTGGTGATTATTCTTTCTTCAGTAGACACAGGAAGACTGATGAAGTTGATTGGAGGATGAATGGAGCTAAATATAAAATAACTTGCCTCTCAGTGTTGGCTCACTGGGACTCCATACAAATGCATTCCACATATTTCTGATTTTTTTTAAATTAATTTTTTCGAGTCGTGCATCCTTTAACGCTAACTCCACAAGTATGCTCTATGAGTTGGTCTATCACCATAGGTCCCAGTGTAAACTATTTAAAAAATTGTTGAGGTCATAATGGGACAAATTGTGAAAAAAATTCAAGAGGCATCAATACATTAAAATTAGACAAAAATAAACTACAGATCTGAATGACAATAACTGTAGGGAACCAGGTGAAAAGGTTCAAAATTACATCTTCCCATAGTTCTGAATCCAAAGGAAGATAAATGTCCAGAAGTGGGGGACAGCGGATGGGTTGGGTCAGAATGGAGACAGGTCATCATACTGCCCCAGATTTGGAGCTCCCACTGAGAGACTGATGGCTGCAAGCAACAGATATCAGCTTGTAGCAAGAGGAGAGATTAAGGAAACATGGCAGAGATTGTAGGAGGAGCCGGACGCCACCCAATATGCACATGGGTCTGTGGTAAAAAGCCTTGCTTCTAACATGCTGCAATAAGCTGTTCTGTAATTATACATCTGCGAGCAGTAAATATGAACTTACTTAAATAGTATGCTGTAAGTTATCATTCATCCAGCAGATTCTATTTTGAAGCAAAACTGTAATTTAAACTGAATCATCAATGTTGCAAATAGCTAAAACTTTTGATTTTTTTAGTGTTTATCATTATTTAAAATTCACATTCCTCCAAATAGTTGCACAAAATCCATTTCACACAAACTGCAAAAATCGATTTAAACAAGTCTTAGCAGATTTGGCTCCTCCAAAATGTTGTCCTTGTTTCCCACACTCCTCAGTGAGCCGTCCTTCCCTGTGCCATTGTTAATCAGATCATTTGCAGTTATTACTTATTCGGCCAGCCGCCACGCCTTTTGTCTAAAATCATTCCACTCTCTGTCTCCAAGACCTTCTCCCGCCCCGCAGTGGCCCATCTGCCCCCTTGTCTGACAGCACAGCTCTCCGTTCTTTTCACACACAAAACTCCCCATACCAGCTGTCCCAGCTTTTATCCCACAGCAGTAAAAGGTGCTGGCCTCAATGTTTGCTGTTTTTCAGCATCACAAGATCATTGTTTTTAACTTTGATTTTAGCTGAACAGAAAAAACGTATGGATTTCTCAGTTTTAGACACGGATAATTTGGTTTTTAGTTCACAGCAAACAACTGGCCTGTTGGTTGGACACAACATATGGAATATAAGTCTTTTCTCATAAACAAAGTAATAATTGGATTAAGGAAATGTGCATAAATCCATTTATTTTATCACCCTAACTGTGTTTATTTGCATAGACTCAATTTAATATGGTGTGCCTTTAAATACAAAAAGATACTCCCTGACTGTTCAGCAGGGAGTTGAGAAGGTATCCTTTAACATTACTTTTCCTTCAACATCGCCATGAGGGCTCTAATATTTATTTAAGAAGGATGTAATCTGCCATGCCAAATATGTGCTTAAAATAGATAGCAGTCATTTACAGTGGTTATAAATAGAGAAAAAGGAAGAGAGGTTGATCCTCTGAGGCAGCTTTTTAATGGCAATGGCACACTGCTGTTTACTAAAGTCTGCAGTCAAGAGCTTGCCTATCAATAATACCATAAAAATCTCAAATACCCCTGAATTTAGTCATCTTCCTCATCCAGTTTTGGAAAGAAGCCTCTGAAGGGAAATTAAATCACTTTTATGAGAGGTTCAAAGGGATCACTCTAAAGGATTTTCTATTTGTAGACACACTGGAAGCCAGGGCTGGATCACTTTACATTGATGACAGATCTCTTTTTCCATTTCCTTGAGCTTGGTGTTGAATTATCCAAACATGTTTGACTTAGATGCCTTCATGTGTTAAAAATAATTACCATAAATTAATTGGAGAATGTAAGAGAAGATATTATTTTAAAACAGCATTCTAACCTTAGCATTGCAAAATGATTCACATCCTTATTTGTTGTTTTCCCCATTTTCCCATTCACACCTCAACCTGTAGTGTTGAGGTGTGTACACTAATACAGAGGCCAGCACTTTTTCCTCTGCTGCAAGTCTTTTAGGATATTTCTACCAATTTTGGCCACGTAGAGAGCAAATTTTTTTGTATATTGCTTTCCAAATAGCATAAGATCAAGCAGAGTGGATGAAGAGCATCAATGAACATTTATTTTTAAATCTTGCCATATTATCTCAACTAGATTTAGGTCTGGGCTTTGACTGGGCCATTCTAACACATTTGATCCGTTGTAGATCTGTCCAAATGCTTACTGCTGTAGACCTGCTACAGGAGGCATGCCACTAATGTGTTTTCTTCCTCTATATTTTCAACTATTGTATATCTTTGCTTTCTCTGCTATCCCCACAGAATAATAATGGCAACATCTTGTTTCATAGGGAGGGTGGTGTTTGAGGGATGTCTCACCTGTAGATTTGTGCAGCTCCTTACAGGCTACAATGGGTTTCTGAGCTGCTCTTCTGATTAATAATCTTGTCTGGTTTGAGAGTTTCAGTTTGTCGGTAGGGTTGAGGTAACACAGCTCAGGGTGTTTGTTTTATAAATTTCACCTAACTTCATCCCTGAGCTGTCTCTTGGTATCTGAGGCTTTCACAGAACAGCTGTATTTATACACAAATTAATACCAGATTCATGGTGAGACTTTTGACAGCCTTTCAAGTGAAATTCATATCCTCCATTTAGGTGTCTTCTGAAAGCAACTGGCTATATAGCGGATTTTATTTAGGGGCAGCATATTGATGTGTGGTGTGTGGAAATTAAAGTTTGCTCTTTGAGCTCTTTTTTATTATTATTATTATTATTATTATTATTATTATTATTATTATTATTATTATTATTATTATTATTATTTTAAATCAAATTATTTTTATTTTCATTGCACTGAACACTATAGCAATGTATGAGGATGCAGGTGGAGAGCAGACCAGCTGACTGGTGGGTAGGCGGAGGCAGGCAAACAATCGGGCTGGACTGGGAGCTGCTGCTGCTTTACTCCGACAGACAGGCAACCTGAACGGACTGGAACTTGACGCGAGCCGCTGCTACCGAGCTCCAGGGAGCAACCAGCCTCTGGGAGTTTAGTCCAACAAGTTACACCCAACCCAACCTTGATTACAGCAACAGCGAACAGTTCTTTGTGCAGCCCTGGAGGTCATCAAATTAAATCAGAGCCCCGTAATCACTTGAATTAAGTGACATTTAATATGTCCATATTGCCGTTCACTCCTCCGATCGTGAAGAGGCTTTTGGGCTGGAAGAAAGGAGAACAAAACGGACAGGAGGAGAAATGGTGCGAAAAGGCTGTCAAAAGTCTCGTAAAGAAGCTGAAGAGGACGGGACAGTTGGAGGAATTGGAAAAGGCCATCACAACACAGAATATCTACACAAAATGCTTAACCATACCCAGGTAAAATCACAGGTCCAAATGGCTCAAACTAGTAGCTATCGCTGATGACAGCTAATGTGTTAGCCCACGGCTGAAGAGCTAGCCTGCTACTTAGCGTGAGCTAGCATTAGCAGTTAATATTAAATCCGGTTTTACTTGATAGCGGTGCTTTAGCTAATATTTTCTTTGTCCTATCAACTGCAAAGACTATATAATGTTTAAAATTACTTCCCAGGTTGTTGTTGCTATCTTTAGTTCACAAATTACCAATTATATTTACAGATAATTAGCCAAAACAACAGCCCAGCTTCGTTCAACAAATATGCAAGATTAAAATAATTAATAGTAGCATCAAATGTCTAATTTATTATAATAATTGTACTTTTTTGGTCAGATGACTTTGCTAGTCGGCGTTGCACAGACTCATAAAATAAGACTTAATCCCACAATTTATAACAAATTTAGTGCATTTTCTAATATACAGGGTCAGGAGTACCTCATGTTTCCCTAGCAATTGCTTGTGTCTAAGCAGTTGAAGCTGGTGAAGAGTGTGTAAATATGTTATGCGGTTTGCTTCAGTTCATCAACTGCTATATAAACATTTCCACAGTTCACACATGTGATAAAACACAGGGGTAGAAATCTGGCAGGGCAGAGCTCTGACTAACAGAGGATGTTTAGACTGGAGTGTTTGCACTCTGGGAAAGTTGTATTAGAGGTTTGAGTTTGGGATTCCCCATAAGGCAAACTGATCTTTCTTGTATAATAGCTTGTCAGACAGTTGGTTGTTTCTTTAGTTGACTGAGTGATTAAAATGAGCCTCACAAAATAATTTGGCTATGTTTTAAGAGTTTTTAGTTAGTTCTTGAAATGAAAGTGTTTCAAGCAATTATTTTTCAAGTTTTGTGTTTGGTAACCTTCAGTTCTGAATTAGTCATGTTTCTTTTTAAGTACATTTGTAGGTCCAATTGCAAACAAAGCTACTGGCCCTCTTTGTTATTTTACTTATCAGGAATAACATAGTGACCCACTTAATATAAAAATGTGTTTCCCCCGCTGCCCCTCCTTTGCTACCAGTACAGCTTTATAGAAGTGGTTCTTAATCCTTAGGATTCACTGACCTGCATGTGAGTTGTTTCCTGCTGACACACTTAAATCAATGTGTGGTTAACCAGCTTCTGCAGCATTTGATGACATGTTGAGGAGCTAATGCAGTCATTTTGATAATCTGTGCTGGAGCTCAGGTGCATCTAAACATGAAGGACACTTGGCCCTAAGATCCAGGATTGAGAACCTCTGCAATAGAAGCTTAGAAAATATGAGCTATTTGAAGGCCAATTCCAATGTGTAGCAATTCAGAAATGAACTCTTAAGACCTAAAACAGAATAATGTTTTTTTTCACTGGCACCTTGTAGTTAGACAACTTCCTTGCCACAGAGGGTTGGTAATTTGCTAATATTTTTGCCTCTCACCAGAACACGTAACATGGCATTCTGGTTGTATGTTCCAGGTCTTTAGATGGACGTCTGCAGGTCTCGCACAGAAAAGGTCTTCCTCATGTGATCTACTGTCGCCTGTGGCGCTGGCCGGACCTGCAGTCTCATCATGAGCTGAGGGCGGTAGATCACTGTGAATTTGCCTTTCACACCAAGAAGGATGAAGTGTGCGTCAACCCCTACCACTATCAGAGGATAGAGACTCCGAGTGAGTGTAGTGATCACTATGCTGTACAGTTTTCTGAACTTACTTAGCAAACTGCGAATAGAATTAAAGTGGTCTTTTGCACTTTCCCAGTTTTGCCGCCTGTTCTAGTCCCACGCCACACAGATATACCTGTTGAGTTTCCACCACTGGATGACTACAGCCCATCAATACCTGAAAATACCAATTTCCCTTCTGGCATTGAGCCTCAGAGCAATTATATTCCTGGTGAGAGACATTGTGTTCAAATCTTAAACTGTGAAGTTTCTTTCTGAAAAAAAAAAGCAAAAAACTTCTTTTTACTGCATATTTTAAGAGAAGTTAGAAAACATAGCAGGAAACATCTCTGGATCACTGCATAGTTTTTTTTATTTATTCCTTTGAAATGTGATCTCTTCCAACATGTTTACTGGTGTATGACAAACTGTTATAGTTTCTGGCATAAGAAAAATGTTATCCCTTGAAAGTATGATGTTTACAGGTTTTAGATGTCACATGTGTTGTATTTTGCAGAAACTCCCCCTCCAGGGTATCTGAGTGAGGATGGTGAGACAAATGATCACCAACTCAACCACAACATGGACACAAGTGAGCCCCATAACTACATGCACTGCCACAGCCTTCATTTTCTACAAACCTCTCATCACAATCATAATCCAACCCTGCCCTCTGTTTCAGGTTCACCCAGCCTTTCACCCAGCCCTGTTTCACCCACAAACAATAATTCTGGTAAGAAAAATCTTTTTATTTTTGTGTTGAGAATTTTAACACCATTATGGATTTTAGAGTTTATGCTCCGTAAGTATTTTATGCCTAACTCTAATCTCTTATCATCATCACCTTCAAATCAAGAGTCACCTCTAATCTTACATTTCTGTATTTTTTTAACTTTTCCATAATTAGCCTATTATTTCTTTTTTATCATTGCCTTTTGTTTTTATGTTGCATTAAAGCACTATTACTTATAAATCATCCCTATATAAATATTGATTAATTGTTAGTTTATATCACAATTATTAATTAATTTTACTGCCCAGAGCTTTTTGTAAAATGAATCAAACATGGTTGCTTTTTGCTTTGCAGTTTGGTTTTAGGATAGTCTTCACTATTTATAATAAATAGGTAGATTTATTTCAAATCTACCTATTTAGATTTAAACAAGTGGCATTTACTATGATGTCGCTTGTTACTATACAAAATGTTGCTCTAAAGCTTTTTAAGTGGATTTAATATTCAGTAACCTTGTATATTTACAAATAATGCATTTATTTGTAAATATACTTGACTTGAGTGCATACTTGACAACTTGGTACTATTCCCTTCATCTAAACTGGAATTGTATCAGTTTAATTTAAGGAATATATTTTATTTCTCTACTTTGTGTTGTTCTCACTTAGAATCCCAATTAAATAAATTAAAGTTTGTAGGTGTAATGTGATAAAATGTTTAGAAAAAATAAAGATCAAGAGTATTAATATTTTTGCAAGGCACTTAAAATATTTGTGCTCTGCAGATAGCGCATGACCACATCATGTTTTATTGCAATAGTGTTCCCTGCTTAGAATAGAAAGGTTTTCATTTGCCTTTTATAACTTTTTTTTCTTTTTTTGATTGTGGACATTGCAACTCACCAGCCTGGTGAGCAGAATAATTGTATTTCTTAGTTATGCTTTTATTCGTAATGGTCCATTGTATAAGATTATTATGCATTTTGAGTCACTTGAGCTTGCATCTGCTCATGTCTGTTATTTTCCCACTAATCCAGACCCACAGCCTGTGACGTATTGCGAATCAGCTTTCTGGTGCTCCATCTCTTACTATGAGCTGAACCAGCGTGTCGGTGAGACCTTCCATGCATCCCAGCCCTCCCTCACAGTAGATGGATTCACTGACCCCTCAAATTCTGAGCGCTTCTGTCTGGGCCTGCTGTCCAACGTCAACCGGAACTCAGCCGTAGAGCTCACTCGCCGACACATAGGTGCATACTTTTTTTTTTTTTTTCAGCCAGTCTTTGCTTTCCATATTTATGCTTTGAGAAATCTGCAGGTTGCTGGTTGTTTGCTTGGCTGCAATCATTTCTGTTGCTTTTCCAGGACGTGGCGTAAGGCTATATTACATTGGGGGAGAAGTGTTTGCAGAGTGTCTTAGTGACAGTGCCATCTTTGTTCAAAGTCCTAACTGTAACCAGCGATATGGGTGGCATCCTGCCACAGTGTGCAAAATACCTCCAGGTCAGTGTGAAACTAATGCTTAAAACAACGAAACTAATTTGAGGTAAAATCCAGTGTCCTCCACACTTTGGAAAAGTGCTGCTAAAGTTTTGTAAATAACCTACAAATAATTCCTTGTACTGAAGTAGCATAACCTTTGACTGGGGTTTTTAGAAAAATCCTTTCTTTAATGAGAGTAAACGTCTTCATCTGTTGAGACAGTTTTGCAAAATCGGTAAACTTGCTTTATACATTACTTTTTAAGATTATAAATGTAAATGTTTAATTAGTAAGGCATAACCTGAGCTGTAATGTTCTATCAAAACAACACTTATTTGATCTATGCACTGCTAAGTTTAAATATATTTTTGCCAGGATGCAACCTGAAAATTTTTAACAACCAAGAATTTGCTGCCCTCCTGGCTCAGTCGGTCAATCAGGGCTTCGAGGCTGTTTACCAGCTCACCAGGATGTGCACCATTCGCATGAGCTTTGTCAAGGGTTGGGGGGCTGAGTATAGGTAAGTATGGTTTTTCACCTTTTATATTGTAATTTCAACTGCCTATACTTAATTTAATATTTTCATAGATACACACTGAGGTATTTGGCAATGATTTTGATAGTCAGAAATACAAAAAAATGTATTTAGGATGCAGTGAGGTTGACAGGGAAATACCAATCGGACAAGCTAATTGCAGAAATGAAGTTGTTGTCCTCTTTTCAGAACATATACACTTACATTCTTTATACAAAAACTTAGATGATTTGTAATCAGTGATACAGGAGAGACACTGTATCCAGTTGTTGGATTGTTCTTTTTTACTACTGTATCTTTAACAAGTATAATATGAACAATTATCATTACATTGCATGACAAGGAAAAAATTTAATGCAAAAACATTACAGGGGGTAAATTTGACTATTAACAGAGCCATTATTTCTTCAGGGTGTGGAGTTGCTGTTTTTTTGTACTTGCTGCCCACTTTTCCCACAGCTTTGACAGACACCCCATTGTTCCTCAAGCAAAACATATTTTTTTCCATGAAATAGATCTCTCCCAAAATTTCTGTCCAATGATCCAACTTTGGTGGTCCACCTTTGAACCAATTCCTTGTGAGAATATTGAGGAGGTACTGATCCCCTTTTTGAAGAATGTCACTACGATCAGAAACCAGTAGGAAAGTTTCTGAATCCCGTATCCTGGTATGTTTTTTTTTTGTTTGTTTGTTTTCTTAAAATTAGAAGGATATTGTCCTAAAATGATTGAAGTGTCCCACATAACAATTCATATAAGAGTGATTGAAGTTGTTGGATTTTTTCAATTAGATAAATGTTGTGTTGTAACATTTTTAATGAGGATGACATCAGTCAGCCTTTTTAAAATTGTTTATAGATTCCTTTAGTTCTGTTGGATAATAGTGAGGGTGCAGCTGTGACAGAGGGGAGGTAATGTATGTGGTGGACATATTTCCAAATCCTACTGCAGTGGGGATTTCCACTTGACTGTGGATTTGTGCGTGTTGTGTTTCTGCCACCAAACACCACATAGAAAAGCATCTCCAGGAAAGACTTGAATGACTTCAGGAATAGCCTGCAAAGTTGCCTTTAATGTTTGTGTTAGCTTATGAGTGAGGTATGTATTTAAATGCAACACATTTAAATGACCATGACCTGTTTCTCAAGAACTTTTCATATTTAGCACAGTGATACAGCATAGGCAAGCCCATTTCTAATAACAGTCTGTGCATCTCTATTCCACAGACGTCAGACAGTGACCAGCACCCCCTGCTGGATAGAGCTGCACCTTAACGGTCCTTTACAATGGCTGGACAAGGTCCTCACCCAGATGGGCTCTCCCAGCATCCACTGCTCCAGTGTCTCTTAGGAAAACTAGTCCCAGATATGCAACTGAGTTCAAGTCACATAGGAAAAGACAAGATTTTGTCTGTGAAAACACAAGATTCAGTTTCCTGGAATATCAGTATCACATAAAACCACTAACAATTATTTTTAAAGCAGAAATGTTGGCCATATGAACATTATGTCCATATGTCGTACATTATATACACTCGGTAGAAGCTGATTTTGGATTATTTACTGCATCACTGTATGCTCATAGTTTTCCTGAGAGATCAAGAACGCACAGGTTGCTTCAGGTTGTGGATGTTTCCGATCAGTTCTTTGTAAGTTTGCCATCCTATCAGGCATAGGAAAACTTTTGCCAATAAAGCAATTATTGGCAGCATGGACAGGTGAGGATCAGCTGAAATGCTGATTCCTGTGCTTCCCTCTGCTGAGAGAGGGAAGCATGAGCTTTTCTAAAACTTCCTGGTAGATGGCTTCACTGATGTTGGACTTGTTAATAATAATTTGTATTATTATTTGTAATAATACAAATTATCTCTGTATTCTCAGAAAACTGACACCTTTAATGACATCGCATCTCTTTGTGGCTAACCCACCTAGTTGAGAAAGTTGTACTGTTGTCCACAACTAACAACTTTACCATGACTGTGTAGGTCTAACATAATAGTTTTGCTAAGAAAAAACATGTCTTATTCAAATACTCTTCGAAACTGAATTTCACGGATGGTTCAGTTGTAATACTTAATTATTCTAATGAACAGAAGTAAATGCCTTGCAAAGATCTCTTTAAAACACTGTGAATGAAATTACTTAGAGCAGGGCTTCAATGATATTCTAAATTTAGATGCAGCTGTATCTGAAATCCCTCTCTCCTGTGCAAGAGATTGAAATCAATTTAAAATGCTTTATTTTGCTTCATTCATTGAATGGATTTATTCTTTACAGACATTTAAAATGTGTGTTCCCCAAATTTAGATAATGTTTTTTCAGTGATTTAATCAAGATTAATTGTGTGTCTTACTATTTGTGAGACCCAATCTCACACACTTAACAGAGAGGGGAATTAAATGATACATGAAATAACTTGAAAAGTATTCAGTTGTCCTTTCATGTCATCTGTCTTTTAAGTACATGCTACTTCCCAAATAGTGATTTATTTATGTAAATTATCTAATTTATGATTCAATTGGTATTTTGTCTACACTAAGGAAAAAACAAAGCACTGTTGTTTCTGTAAAAAAATGTATGAACTATTTTCTTCTCTGAAAGAGACATAGAAGTTATTTTTGCATATTGTCTGACATGGAAATTTATTTTTATCATTTCCTAAATATGACTGTAAATAAGTTGATTAGAGCTCGTAATTTCATGTTGGCAAAAAAACTTGAAATAGTGGACCCGATGAACCTTTGCCAAAGGGCTGACTGATAAGACTTTAATAATCCCAAACTTGAGTTGCATAAAGTGTGCTTCTAGCATGCGTGAGCTGGTTGTACACATCTGGAACAGATTTCTGTATCAAACCTTATTTATTTTTCAATAGAGACACAATGCAGACCATATTTGTCTTTATAGGAGGTTAACTGAATTTAGACACCATGTGACTGTGGGGTGAAAACAAGAAACGTTTTGTGATTCACTGTCCTTGTGAGAAAATGATGTACTTCCAGTTTACTATTCATCACTTTAAAATTGTAATGATTGCTTGCCCAAAAACACTGTATACCACATATACAATGTTATAATATAAGGCATGTGTCTTCGATCGCTGTCTGGTGCAATGTTCATCCTGCACTTATAGTACATAGAACTATGTTACCATGTGATCTACAACGGCAACATGGTAGTCGTCTAAACACCGTGTACTATAGTGCATTATGTTGTTTGTAAACTTCTGTATTCTCTTTATTTTTGTAGTGGCTTTTCTGGGCCAAGTCTTGCATATATGTAGCCTTTTTGCCTTCGGTCAAATGACTGAAACAAATTGCTCTAAATGTGAAATTTTATTAAAATGCAACAGACAAGTCTTCAGTGTTTTTTAAAATCTTTATTTATGAATCCAAACCTATCTCCTGATATCATCTCCTATTATTATGGAGGTTAAAGAGTAGACAAGATCAACCCTCAATTGTATTTAACTCTACAGAGTGCAGTAGTTTTTAATTTTGTTTTATGCCACTCTGGTTAAGAAGTGTTTTCAGTAAGTGTGAGTTATGTCCCTACTCCCTTAACTCAGATGGGATGCAGACGGCCATTTTGCATCTTTTTGAGCCTTTAGCAGGTTTTCTTTAGGGATTATGTTTAGTTCTATCCATTTTTCTCTCAGCGCAGGCAGGTTCCATGTCCCTGCTGGATGTATGACAACCCCATGTTACTGCCACTGTGAAACTTGACTGGGATGGTGTTATCAGAATGATGTGCACTTTTAATTTTCCACACCTTAGTTGTCTCTCTGCAGTCCCATCCAGAGTGATGGAAATGCATTAGAAATGCTTCTTCATTTCTAATGCTGTCTGCTCTGTTTATTGGTCTTTATTCTTTTTTTTTTTTTAATACCTGATTACTAAGAACATGGCTTATTGAGGCAACTGGCTATGATAATATTTAGAGGCATCAGAGCAAAGTGGATTGACTTAAAAAATATGCAGATTTTTTTTCTCCAGATTTTAATCTGCAAAAAATAAAAAGAAAATAACATTTAAAAATTTCAATTACATAATATTTTATGTAGGTCTATCACATGAAAGCTCAGTAAATTAATTAGCTTGTGGTTGTGACAATGGAAAGGTTCAGGGGATGTGATCACGTTTGCAAGACATTTGCTGAACAGCAGAAAACCACCAATTCTACACTTTATTTCAATTACTCATTTTATTTTCTCAAGAGTTATTCAGTTTTTTGCATATTTTATTTTGTTAAACCAAATTGCAAAATGCACCCTTGAAAACTAGTGTTCACAAATACGTTAAAGTCACAATGAAACTGAAAAAAAAGGTTTTGTATTGATTTATGAGAATGTGCATTAAGTCTCTTACATGGATAAGGCACATTTGTAACAAAAATACATGTTGACATTACCTACAAACATGACAAATCAGATGTCCCACATTATTTTATTTATTTTTTTGGCCTCCATACCAACCACATATTGACCACACAAGGGTAAAGTACATTAAAACCCAGGGGAAGAAGTTTAAAGATCAGGGCCTCTCATGGCTTACCCTCTAAATAGTATTTCAGCAAACATCATTTAATCCTAAAACTCTCATACAACTATTCTTACAGTGCCATCTGTAAGCAAATCCATCTTCCACGTGTGACCAGGACATCCACATTGGCTCCCATGTGGGTTCCAGGAAAAATGGTGCGATCAGAGGAATGAAGACAGTCACTGATATGTGATTCTAGCTGTCCTCACCTGAAGATAATCCATCTATTTCATCTTCTTCCCCACCAATGGCCATCCAAAAGGCTTTTGCCACCTGGAAAACAAAAGAGAAACAAATCAGTTTTCAGATGTGCTTTTCTGAACTGAGCCTTCATTCTTATAAACCGATCCAACATAATTTCTCACTAGAGTGCAATATTCAGTGCCTGGTAAAGTATTGATTCCAGTTCCAATGGGGGGTTATGAATACATTTCCAAGACACTGTAGCTTTAACTGTTGTTCAAGCAAAAAAATATATATATAATGACTAACCTTTTCAGCATGAACTTTTCTTTGCTCATGTGGTAATGATGAAGCTTTATCTACATGGTGAAATTGAACAAATGCACTTTAGTTTATGGATGAAAAAAGTTTACAAAGTACAAACATATTTGACTTCCACATTAAGCAACACCAGAGTAGAAAGAGTAATTTTTATTTGAACTTGCTTTATATATTCCAATTACCTTTCATCTCTTTTAATTTAGTAAAGAGCCGTTCAAAATTGTCTGCATCTGCATCCCCAGCTGTAAGATTGGCAAGTTCCTGTATGTCTAAATCAGTCATTGCATCTGCAAGGATAGAAATCACGTACAGTTTATGTAATAACATGAAAAATAAATTCATAAATTAGCCAACTAAATGTTTAAAAGAATGTTACTTGCCTACAACTGGTCCCTCTTGTGTAGCTGAGTTTGCACTGTTGTCTGTGTGATTGGCCTCCTCATTGATGTGTGCGCCCTCTGCTGGCAAGCTGGAGGACTGTCCCATGAAAAGGCATTAGCATCTTTAAAAACAGGTCCCTTTTAAAATTTACTATGGAGAACCTCTTTAAAACAAATATGTGAATGTAATAAATATGGCCTTTTATAAATCAACAGAAATGTCATCTAACCGGTGGATCTTGGCTGTGGCGTGGGTTGTTATGCCTGGAAGCAACCAAACTACTCATTAGGCCAAAACCCTGATTGTGTCCTGTTAGACAAAGATGAAAAGAGTCATGTATGCTACATACACAAACGATGATATCTACAGAATATGTTCTATCAATCTAAACCAATTTGATATTAATTTACCATCCTTCATCTCCACACTGGACCACACATTAGCATTAAGTGCCTGAATAATTCTCTTTACTCCTGTGGACTCTGGAAAGTCATCTGAAATGTGCAAAGTGATGAGGAAAAGTAAATCAGATGAAGACTTGGTCAAGGACATGTGCTTTTCTCTTTCATGCAGAACTCACCATCCTCATCTGGTAGCTCCTGTGGATTGAGCTCCACAAGCTCAAATGCATGGGACAAACACCACTGTTGTGCTTCATGCCTAGTCACACCTAAAGCATGAATTAAATTTAATTTGCTTGACGAAGCAGTATCAAATGTATGTGTGTGCAATTATTCATCCTGCATTCTAAACGATTACCGGTACTTTAACTAACCGTTTTCACAGACTCTGTCGCACACAAGAATAAGCACCTCTGGGCTGAGATCTTGCACCACAGAAATCCAGGGATTTAGCTTTTCCAGCCCATCTTTCTGCAAACATTCAACATGCATCATAAAAATACCATTTGCAAACAAATTAGTAAATAAAAAGAATATATTGTTCTTAAGGTCACATACCATTTTGCTGTCAAAGTAAGCAATGAAAGCCTGCATGGATTGAGCAATCTCTGCAGACATTTTATACGTGCTTGGTACAACACACAACTGCACATCCGCCGTATAATATTTGTTATTGATAGTCCAAGGATACCAAATAACAGTTTCCTCTCGCTTAGTTGGCTGAGGCAAAGTCTTTGAATTGAGTATTTCTGAGAAGAGAAACAATAATAATGTTCAAAAATCAGAAAAAGACAACATTAAGTGAAGGTGATTTTTTGTTTTTTTTTTACTCACGCTCAAATATTTAGTAAAATATAATAAAAAACGGCAACATAAATAAATAAAAAATACTAGTTTCAAATAACAGTTTCATTTGTTAAGGAAGAAAAATATCCCAAAGCCAACTGGTCATAGATAAAAAATAACTGTCCTCTAAACCTACTAAATACCCGAGTCAACTCTGGTGTTAACAACTGATATCTAGAGTTAATTGGTGGTAAGTCTTTTAAGTGCTTGTGGAAAAATTGTAGCCTATTCTTCTTAGCAGGCTTGTCACAATTGGGTCACATTGGAGGGCTTTGGAGCACAAACAACATAATCAGGGTCATGAACCAAACAGCTTTTCAGGTGGAGAGCAAATTTCATGGATCCATCCAGCTACTGAAGAAGCAATGCAACCCCAGTCCATCATAATAATAACAAATCACTACTACTACGTCAGACTGTTGCAATGATGCTCTATTTTTCCTGAAATACTATGCCAATTTTATGCTAGGTGTAACAGGACACACCCCTTCCTTTCTGTCAAGACAATACTATCCTCAAATTCTTGATCGCAAAAGTATGTGACAAAGGCAACAAAGTGCTCTTGTTGCTTTTCTGGATTCATCTGTGAACTCCTGGATGAGACTTTGATCCACTCTAAGTAATTTTGGGAGGGCTGTCATTCCTAGAAGAAAGGAAGAGCTGTTTCATTTTTTTCTACATGTAGCATGGGATATATATATATATATATATATTACAATGGCTCCCATTGTAGTTTGGTGAAGTCCATGAAAGCCTAAATAATGGCTTTCTGATCCCTCCCAGTCTGACAGGTGTTCACGACTGTGTCTCATGCTTTCTTTTGTTATTCGTAATAATTAATCACATAAATGGCGTTTCTTTCTGCTGTACCGTGTTGATTTGGATGTTTTCCCTTATAAATTTATAATTTTAAAAGTACATTTTGGTTTTAACACAGGCTATTTTTCTTTTATACTAATATTTGTTTTAAATTCAGATTTGTTTTTTTTTAAGACCCTATATCCCATCAGAACTTCTGTCTCACTCCAAGCTTCACTCAAAACAAATACATTCTGTATTACAGACATGGCAACGTCAATAAACGACTGTTTATCAACGCTTAAGTCAGGTGCTCTGCTCAGTTAGCATTGTTTAGCATTAGCTTTCCTGCTAAATCAGACTGGCTGTGCCCCGAAAACTTACGTTTTATCAGCTCTTCTTCTTTAAATTCACCGTCAGTGCTCGTGACAAGCACACATGGCAGAGTCATCTCAGTGTTTTCTTCTGCCGATGACATTTCTCTAATATTTAAAGATCGCTTTTCTTGCACTAGCTTAAGATGTAGCTAACTTCTATAACCTTTGAACTCTGTGTTCCGCCGTAGGTCACTTCCGGTTTCTATTTATTAATTTACTGTGCAGTTTCTTGGATTTATCTTTAATAATAATAGTAATAATAATGCTGAAATTTATATTAATGACAAATAGTCTGAGATTAAATTCCTATATCGAAAAGGTATGGGAAATCTTAGCTCTGTAAATTTTCTTGTAAGGCCAGACAGTATAATTAAGGTGTTCACTTATTTAATAATGGCTACGCACATTGTTAGCGTCCCGTCTAGAAAATAACATAATTAGTTTTCAAGACCTACAAGATATTAGCACGTTTCGTGTAAGAGCAGACACCGGAAATGTTAAACCCGCTCTAAAAAAAAATAATGTTGCCATGGTTACGAGTAATGTTTTTGATCATCGCTAACTAGCATACTGTCTCCGGCTAAAGTTATTAGACCACGAATAAATGATGGCTGACTTACCCAAAAACGAAGATAGATTTGAAGACGTTTTGGTTCAGGTAATGTTTCAGTTTTATTGACTATGTATTAGATTCCATGATATAATTTAGCCCACAGTGTCTTGTCAGACTGAGGTATGTTTGTATTTGCAGGTTCAACAGGATATAAGCCAACTTAAGTACAATATTGAAAAAATCAATGTGGGCGAAAAGGACGCAAGTCTCGATATCAAAGTACTGGACAATGCAATCAGTAGGACCCAAAGCAACATCAGGGTGAGAAAGTTTTATACTAAGGACAATGTTTACATTTAGTAGAAGCCAAATGAACTGATTTACAAACAGAAATGACATTTACTTCTAACACACAGAGACACGCAAATGATTATTTGAAAAGTATAAATAAGCAGCAACTGGTTCTTCCAGCCATCGAAGACTTACAAAAACAGACCTTAAAGGTTTATAAATGGTAAGTGAATTAAAGCTAAGCTTGTTATATAGGGGACATATGTTTAAGAATGTTTTCACGGATGTTGAGTTTGCATGGTTCTCTTATCCTGCAATAATGACTTTGTACAGGAAACCCTCTCTTGAAAGTCTCCCTGATGTGCATTCACCAAGAAAGACATTTGACATAGTATTTCCTGAAAGAAAGGTACATTCTTCCACTCATTTTCACTCATTCTTTCTAAAAGCTCAGAAACTGTTTCTGTTAGAAGATCTCGGATTCAAACCAAGGCCAATCCCTGGAGTAGAATTAGCATTTTCTCCCAGGGCTTATGTATTTTCCTGAGATACTTTCTTCCACAGTCTAAAAAATATGAATGTAAACAAATGGTCTCGGTGTGGGACATGGGCTGAAAACCTGTCCAAAGCCCCTTCCTAAGTCATATCAATGAGCCTACAATAATTTAGCAGATAGTGAGCATAGATGGATGGAAATAAACAGTTCAGATATTTAAGCATTTTTGTTAAGGTTTTATTTTCACCATCTTTTTTTTTTACAAAATGTAAATGTTAATATAAAACCAAAAATCATAAAAAATAATTAAGAAATACCACCTATCTAATAACTGGTATCAATAGTAAAAATAATAACTGCCTTGGAGAGAACAACATTTGTTATTCAGTTTTACCAACTGCAGACATGTAGAAACAAAATATGAAATAACCCAAACTATAAATTGAATGGTTATAAATCTTAAGTAATTCTGCAAATACTATCGATTATACAAAAGATCAAAGTCATGCAGTCTTAAAATCAAATAGGCAGCGAGGAAAGAAGACATAGATTTAGTGACTAAAGTAAATTCTTGAGTCTACCAAACCTTAAATGGAAACTGGTTTCTATGTTCTGGTTTTTATGCCTTACTGCTCTCTGCCTGTGGGGAGGGAGGTGACAGACCATATGCATAGAGCTGGGACTCTTGATGATGCAGGATCCCTGCTGCTACTTCTATACAGATTTATTCTCAGCAGATGAAAGATTTTTACCTCTCACAACAGCTGCCTCTTCTTCTTGTCAGTGTCAAAGTTGTTCTTGTAATGTGTTCTGTAATAGAAATTAAGACCCCCTTTCACTACACATGAAAAGAATGCTGTCAGAACTGGTATGATGAGCCTATAGCACCACTAGTTCATTTTTAATTGGGTACTTAGTCTATGTAAGCACCTTGAAAAGTTGGGTGCTTCCAAATCTGGGCAGTTTTTGCCACATTTGTTTTGTCTGGACATCAGAAGCAGAGTTTCTACTCTCCATTCATAATCCCAAGAGCATCGACTAAGTCGTTTTACATTGATACAAATATTAATTATTGCAGTGGCCTTTAGGTTTTATCCACTTCTGGTTGTCCCAAGAATCACAGTTCTTATATTACACACATGCAAATATCACAAAGACTCCAGCAGAGGAAAATTTGATCTGTGTGCAGCAGGGCTCAGGATGAATCCCTGGGGTATCTGCTTGAGTTATGGATAATGAAGGAGGCTGAGATGCCACATTTTATAACATTTATCGTCTTTTTGAAGGAAAAAAAAAAGCTTCATTGGCAAAGTTATTATCCATAACTTAACCCTTTTAGTCCAATAACAAAGCATTTTTAACAAAGACTAGAAAAGTGGCCTTTTATTGGATTCTCGGATGGGAGAAATTTGAGAGGATAACAGAAAAATATATGAACACTGGAGGTGTGCTAAAGATGACTCACTATGTTTTATGAGAGTCATAATAAATTGTTTTATAAACATAACTATAACTATCATATCTGTTTGGGCCTTTCATTCTTTTTCTTATTCTAGAGGATGTTTAACACCCAATTTTGTTCTTCCAAAAATTATTTACTACACTTTGCTAGACAAAATGATTTGCATTGATTTTGAAACTACAAAAGGAATTTGGGAACTTTAGATCTGCTAAAAACAGATGATCTATTTCACCAGTCAGTTGGAGAGAGAGCAAAATAGGCCGGTCTTTCCATGGCGGGCTTTGTTTGGCAGTCTGACTAAACAAAAAGCAGGTTTTTTATATTTACTAAATTCCAACCTAAAAATGCAGAAAAAAATAATGTACTTAGTTTATATTTCTTAGTTGGAAAACAAAATGTAGAATTTTTTTTTGTCGCATTAGTGAGTCTCATTTAAAACAATAATCTCTAGAGACAAACCTGTAATATGTTTTTATATTTTTTATGTGTTATATTCCTTAGGAATCAGAATGTTATACTTCAGTGAGATCTGGATATTGAATCTATAATATTTTAAGTTCTTGTTTTATAGGCTTTATCTGTCTAAGATGTACCCTTTTTCTTACCCAATGACTGCTGGAGATAAGATTTGGCAAATTTTGTTTCTACATATTTTAATAGCAATGAATCTCTAAATTTCTGACACATTTCATATAATTACTTGTTACTTTTGTCAGTTCTTACCCTTTATCCTCAGACACTTTATAGTGGAGTAAAGAGTAATGATAGAAGCCTGAATTTAGATTCCTCAAGTTGCTCGTTCAGGCAAACTGTGACATAAAGGTCACTTGACTTAGTGATGACATCTAGCCCTTATCAGAGCAAACAAATGAATCTTTACAAAGGTCGACATTAGTTTTAGATTTTTTTTATACACTGTCTTTGCCAATGTGATTTTGTTAATCTGTACCTGACATGACAAATAGAGGCCAAAACTGTCACACTGCTCCAAGAGAGATGGAGGTGCTGGCTAGCGAAAGCGGAAAACAGCAGATTGTAGCACATCAGCATTCTCCTAAAGAAACAGGCACCTGATTGCTGCGCTATGGGCTGCTGGTTTACAGCTGTCTCCAGACAGAATCGACTACCTGTTCCTGCATGCCAATAAGACAGCCGTAGCCTCCGCAACTGCTAACCACTGGCTCTCTGCCTGCTACTACCTCCTGCGACTGAGCCCACTTCTTTTCTGTACCATGTCTGTGCCAGGGGATTGGCTTTTTGCATTTTTGCAATTTTACAAAAGGTGGCACCTTTTTCTCCAGCCCTGTCTGAAACAGATGTGTGCCTGTGAGGGGAGAGTGTTCCAGCACCTGGCTCCTACTCATGGTCTGTCATAGTGCTCAGTGGTCTGAGAAGAACAAAAAGATAACATGAGGACATTGGGAAAATAGTCTTGAAAAACAGCCACTTTGAGTTTTTAGAAGAAGTAAAGTCTTCCAATTATGTCTAGAGATCTACCTGGTTACGTTAAATCAGGCAGATTCTTTACATTTACTGCCACAGTGTTATCTTGCATGATATTAGTAGTATGTTAGCCAATCCTTGCATATTAGCAAATGTTAGAATATTGAGATATATATGTTGTGTGAGAATGGCGCTGCTGACCCCACTCTTTGCTTTCATGGCCCAAAGCCCAAACCTCATTATATGTAACCTAGTTATGGCCTGTAGTCCCACTGTATAAAAGCGTCTTTAAAAGAGGGTGGTGTTGGGTCTTAAACTTGGTCTTTTAAAAGGAAGTTTACAAACACTTTCAAAATAAAAGCTTCTGTGTTTAATAGGTTACAATAATCAAAATAAAACTTTGGTATTCTCTTTTTTAAAAAGCCCTCCATTGATTAATCATTAACTTATTTGAAAATTAATGAATAATGAAAAATACTAATTAAAGAAACATTCTGTCTAGGTGAAACCTGAGGCTGTAGAGAATCTTGCAGTTATCAAAGCAAAAGGAAAGCACATTCATTATCTTCCTGAAGATGACCTGGAACCAGGTTAGATGTCATCTCACCACCATCTCATATCTGTCATTCTCCTGGCATAACGTTCTGTTTCCTCAACCTTTTTAGTTCTTTCTTTCTCTTTGTAAATAACTGCCTGAAAACTATCTGCTAAAATTAATGTCCAACTACATTTTCAGTGCATAATTTCAAGCACAATGTTTTAAGTGGTTGTTTTGTTGCTTTTCATTGATGTCTGCAGTGATTAAACCAAGCTTGCTTCGTATGTCGGCTCAGCACAACATTATGTCTCTTCAGCCCAGGCCGGAATTGCACTTTTCCAAAAAAGGTTAGACAGTAGCTTATGAAAATGGTCAAGGTCTGTCTGTAAATAATATAAGCATAGCCAAAACACCATCAGTCCAAATTAACTGTAACTTATTTTTTTCAATTAATTTGCATTTTTCTTTTGCTCTAGTTTCTCACATCAATATTAACAAACTATTTGAATGATAGGTACAAACTGCAAAACCTGGTTGATAACCTGCAAAAGCATGTGACTAGCACAAAATGGACACTTCATTCCTCAAAAGCAAGTGTTTATGCTCAAAAGCAAGTGTTCATGTCAATTTAAGTGTGCAAGAGCAAAGTGCAAACAAGTTTAAGAAACACCCCTTCGGTAAAGCTGTAAACATCTGTAAACAACGTAATCAGTGAAAGCTGAGATTCACCTGAAAGAATTTTCAGGAATGAATGATAAAAAAATATATAAATTTTGCGCAATGACTCAAGCAATGATGTGAGACGTTTTAGTCAGGAAGGGAATAACTATTCACTATTCATAAGTATAGCTTAAATAAGCAGAATGTAAATCTATAACAGTGCAGACAATGGTATGGAAGCAGTTAATAGATGTCCAAAAAGATGTGCAGTTTGTTGGAAGGAATTAGAAACTGCTATTAGGATTAGCAGAAAGGAACAACTACGAGAATTTTAATTCTGAGAAATAAAAGACTGTAAATACCATGCCTACTCCATCAATTCACAGTATTGACTGAATACTAACATTCAGTCAATCAACTTTAAAAAAGAAACCTGTCCTTGTTTTTTTTTTGTGTTTGGATATGACAGACTTAGATTTCAAGCTAGTTAAGGAGTCAAAACGTCAGAAAGCTTCAGCATCCAAGGTTGGCAAAAAAGTTGGTGAATCCAAACATGTCTTGACTAGTTTACCAAGTTTGCCAACTCAGATCACAGCTTCCGACAGCATGGAAAAACAAGCCACAACCTCTTTTGTCACCAAAGAGACCCAGGTTTGAACTCTTTCAATTTTTTAATTATTTTACATCAAAACATTGCAGCAAATTGTGTAATAAAAAGGAGAATCATATGAAAATAAGACACATCAAGTATTTATTAATATTCTGTTGATGCACCGACAGTGCCTTAAACAAGTATTCATATTAAATTGACTTTTTCACATTTTATAAAAGAGCAACCACAAACAATGTATTTTATGTGGATTTTAGGTAAGACCACCTCACAAAGTAGCGAAAGAAAAAGTTAGGATTTAACATTGTTTTTATAAATTAAGAGTACTTAGTCAATAAGGTATACAACCATTTTACATCAGTTTTGCTCATAGAAACTGAATTTTACTTATTCTTCTTATACAATAGCTCAACACTACTTTATGTATATGTAAAAATCTAACAAAATTCACTAAAATGTGTCATTATAGTGTGAGAAAGTGAACTGATTTTTGAATGCATTTGAAGACACTGTAGTTTGTATCTTTTTGCTCTGCAGGCCAAGTCTGTAGATGCTGATACAAGCACGTTTACAATCATAAAGGGACAAATCGATCCGATGGCGAAAGACTTCATTTGCTTCAAGGAGCGATTTAGTTGGTGCTGGAGCAGCATGGTGGAAGTTTTGGAGGACCTGACGAAACTGCTCCGAGAGTTTGCAGTGCCTTTAGCTAAAGTTGATGGAGAACACTTGATAGAGTTATTCCCTACATCTGATTATGTTTCCAGAAAGACTTTGTCAAATGCCACTCTCTTCTCACTGCTTGAAAATAAGGGGGAGGTATTAGAACTTGTCTCACGTCCAGGTCAACGCTACAGAGGAGAAGGAGGCAGAGATGTCGCTGCCACCCGTATACAGACCTGGTGGAGGGGCTACCTCATGAGGACTTCTTACCTGCGGTACCACCGCTGCAAGAAGGCAGTGGACGTTATTTCGTTGTCATGGCTGTTGCACTATCAAAGGTGCCAAATAAAGAAAACCCTTCAGGCCAAGCGTTTCAGACAGCTGGAAAATTATCGCAGCAGAGCAGAGGTGATGTACCATCAATACTTACGTTTTTTACTAACTTTTATTTTACCTTCGTCTTTTAATAGTATTTTGAAATTCACATATATGTATATATAATTAGAGAACAGGAAAAGCTAGTTTAGGGATACACTGGAGACATCAAGCTGATCACAAGCATGACATCTAATAAAGTAATATACATATAATTGATAGTTAGGTAGTTCTTTATTTATTATTATTGTTTATGATTATATTTAATTATTGATTTTGTTATTATTCATTTTAAAATGTGCTGCAGTTGTACTTTGAAAAAGACAAAAGTACATTTAATTTATTAAATCTACATTTAAAATTTATATATATATATTTTTTTACTTTTAGTTTTAATAGTTGTTTTCAGCTAGTTTTCATAAGGTGGCTAATGAAAGCTCATTTCCATTTTGACCCACATCAACATCATTACTGTCTCAAAGTGCCAGAGACCAGAGGCGGGCCGGATTCGGATTTTGTCCCGAGGCCTTCAGTTTGACACATGTGGATTAAAAGATTCTAAATAGAGACAGTAAATTCATTGGTTTGACGGTTTCTAGTTGAGTAAAAAATAGTATTGCACTTACCAAAACTGACTTAAATTAGAATTAGATCCTACTTTAATAGTCACCAGATAAAACATTTTAGCTCTTTATTTTGATAAATGTATCAGGGTCCTTTTAAAATAACCTTCTTTTTTTCTTTTTCTCTCTTTTTTTTGCATTTAAATTTTCTCCTTTTGCGTGTAGATGTCACGTCTGTGCTGTCATCTGGCCTGAACAGCTTTTAAAGCTCTGACATAATATTAATTAGTGCCTACAAGTTCATTTAGTTTGAACATTGTTGTGTGTGTATACATGCACTTAAAAGATGTTCTCACTCTTTAAACATTCATACCCTGTTAATTAAGCCTGCTAATCTTCCCCTGGCAGTAGCATCATGTACCTTGCTGATTGAATTAATTGTGAGAGGATGTTTCCGAAAGTAAACGCTTAATTTAATTATGATGGTATTTTATGCTTGGTTTGCTTCTGTGAGCCAAGAGAGATTGGTTTGGTGTGTTTTATCCATGCGGTGATGAGATGATTTGTGTGTGTGTGTGTGTGTGTGTGTGCATGTGTGTGTTTGTGTTTTTGTGTATGTGCTCAGCCAGCCTCCTCCATGATCACTTCTTTTCTCTGTCCCCAGCATCTGGCAGCAAACTGGAAACACATCCAGTCGTCCAAGAGGACCATTATCCACATCCCTTCATTAGGTGGCATTTGTCGCCCGCCGCACACACTTCAACACGCACACATTTGATCTAGAGGCAGTCATCCCCGGTCTCGCCGCTCTGCTGTCCCCAGCCCGTGGCCCCGGTTCAGACACTCTGTCTCGTTCAAATGACTCTCTGCAGGAAAGCACTCACTAGATGATGACAGTCCCCGTGCCAAGGAACCAAACAATTTAGTCTCAATCGCCATTTAATTTGCAGATTAAGCAAATGAAAAACCATTATGTTGAACGTGTACAAGAGGCGCAAAGGTCTTATTTTACTGCTGTGCACAAAAACACCACATGCATGTGACAAAAAAATGTAAAAGACTGCTGTGCATTCGCAATAAACAAAGAGTACGAGCCATGATCAGTTCATGATCTAATTTCTTCACAGCACAAATTTAGACTGTAATCAGCCATGTGCATTGTAAATCATTGAGCGATTGTCTAAAATTATTAAGCCTAATTACTAGCAGATGGAATGCTTTATTTGCACTTGGGGTGGCTACAGAGTGCTGTGCGAGCAAGGATAATTAGAAAGTTGAACCCCATTGTTGTTAATTAGCATGAATCCAATCATTTAATTACCTTGATTCAGTTGAGGATTCCCTCTAACACAGGCTAAGATCCTGGCGGTGTCATTGGATATAGTTTAGTGGTGGCTGGACATGGTGTAGAAGGACTCCCAGCACACGACAGGCTCTGCACCTGCTAGTTATTACGTTGAATTAATCATTGGATTGCTCTGCAGCCTGATTAGGCTTTAATGCCCTTATTCCCAAGACTAGTGACATGCACATCCCATCCAGAACTAGCTGTACAGATCTGAAATTTCTTACAGTGTCAAAGTGAATTTAATAATTGTCTGACCTTATTCTGACAGGGTTCTCCCAGATCTGGAGACTGAGCACCAGGAAATATAACATCCTCCAGAACATCCAAATCACCAGGCTGTGTGATATTAGAGGCAGGGACGTTTATTGAGAGCTTACTCACCTTGTTTAAATATTTAATCTGTAAAACCCCTTTTTCTGATTCTAGATGAAAATGTGGAGGTGATCTACATAAGTCCATTACGTTTGGGAGAAGACATCTTGCAGTATTACGACAGTTTCCTGAGAAGGAATGGGACTGATAGCAGCTCCAGCCAGGACTTATCCTGCAACAAGCGGTTTCTTATCCTAACACCTGAGGCTGTGGATTATTTCCCTGTAAGATTGACTATGCTCACCTGTGTGTTTATACATGAACTTTTGACTGATACGACAATGCATTTGGAAAGGGCTAGCAAAGGTTGCTGCAGCAGTATTAGACTGAAGTCCTTTGGAAAATTATTAAAAACTCTTGAACTTTTACATTTTTGTCACTTTGCAACTCTAAATTTAGTTGAACAACCAACATAAACTAGAGCATAAAAAGTAAAAAAAGAAGAAATATACATTTGAAAAGTCTTGCATTGACTTTTATTCAACCCCTCCCAAAAACAAATCCAGAGTAATGAACTGATTTCAAAACTGTATTTATCTGTAAGTAGACTTTGAATTTCAGTGTGAATTCAGCTGTTTTATAAAATCCTCCAGAGATTTATAAGAGAACATTAGTGGAATAACAACATCATGAAGATCAAGAAACATAGCAGTGAGGTCAGGCAGAACACTGTGGAGAAATCTGAAGCAGAGTTAACTTAAAAAAAATATATATCCCAAACTTTTAACATCTCACAGAACTCTGTTCAAGCCGTCATCTGAAATTGGGAACCGTATGGTACAACTGCAGACCTATCAAGACATAGCCATCTATCTAAACTGACAAGTCGGCCAAGGAGAGTGGGAATCAGAGAGGCAGTCAAGATACCCATTGATACTCTGGAGGAGCTGCACACCATAGGCAAGATAATTTGTTGAAAGAACATTAGTTGCCCTTCATTAGTTGTGGAAGAAGGAAATTACTGTTAACAAAAGATTTAAAAAAAAAGACCTGTTTATGCTTTAGTTTCCAGAAGGACAATGACTCTGAACAATGGAATAGTTTTAATCAAAGCACATTCATGCCTCAAATGTTAGACATAAATCTAGGTTAGAGTCAGAGGGGAGACTTCAAAATGGATGCTTGCAGGCACTCTCCTTTCTACCTGCCAAATATCCAATTATGTCCTGCTTTGTGTCTGGTTTGTCGCACAAAATCCCAGTAAAAAGCAGTGAGGTTTTCGGCTGTAGCATGACCAAATAGGAAAAAGTTTTTGGTGTGTATCCTGCATGCCACTGTCCTCCACCACGGAGTGCTACAGTCATTTGCAGTTTGTGTAGTGTCCTCTAGGGGGTACTATAGAGATGGCTGTTACAATGCAGCTGTCCTGAGAGAGCAGCTGTTTAATGTTTTTCAGTGCATTTAAAATTTAACTTCTGCTTTATCTTTTGTAAACACACTAAAGTCGATTATGTTGAGCTTAATTAAAACATTTGTAATTGTCTATAGATGGTTTTCACAAAATAATTAAACTTCTGCTGCCTTTCTTGGACTGTTTCTCATCTAAATACTCCCAAAAATTCTTTTGTGACTCTAAAGTGTTTCAGCATTAAAATGTTCTTTCCAAAATGTTTTAGACTGAACGTGCAACATGACATAGCCTTTCTCATTTCTTTTTTATTGATTTTCCCACTGTTTTGTTGTTAAACTGTGCCAGACGTGTTGCTGAGATGAATCACTCCTACCCGTGGCTGGCAGCACATTCTGCTAGTGACAGAAGGGATAATTCCACGTGGATCAAATAAATACAGATGTGAAGTAATTAGTTGTATTCCCAAGGAGCTCGTTGGTAGCACACATTAAAGAAGTGAAGGATAGGCGAGTTTTTCCGCAGGCTGGTTTTATCAATCCAACCTGCTGAAATACATGAGAGGTCAAAACCCTGCTGGCTATTTCAATAATAGACTTATTGAATGTACACAATGATAAATCAGGCTGAATAACAACCTTTGGAAGATACCGTGATAGCAATTGACTGTAGCCTTCATCTCTCCTTTCCTTTGCTTTAGACCCACAACATGTGTCTGTCTACACTGCTGAAGTACAGTCCGTGCACCCTGAAGCAAATCAAACACCAAATACGGGGGAAGCAGGCCTATATAGTGGGTGGAGTTGGCCATGAGGATGACCTGGAAGTGGCTGATGAGCTGCATGTGCCAATCTTAGGTCCAGAACCGGCTGTTTCACAACTCCATGGCACCAAGTCTGGAGGAAGAAAGATATTTTCTGAAGCAGGACTGGAAGTACCCCCTGGACAAGGAGATGTGTATGTTCTTTGCCAGGTATGGCACCAAAACCATTCTTACAAGCCCCTATGTGCCCACTATCACAGATGAATAATAATAAAAAAAAATGTTTCTTTTGGTTTAGCTTTATGAAATACTGGCCGAACTTCTTGCTCAAAATATTCACGTTCAGCGCTGGCTCTTTAAGATCAACGGGCAGCGAGGAGGCCGTGATGCAGCATACTGTGATGTTTGCCACCTTCGGCGCTACAGCTGGGCCCTGAAGCGCTACCAGCATTTTGGTCCTGATCTGTGGCAAGCAAAATGGGTTCAGGTAAAAATATCAGAGCACTTTTAAAAGCATGTTAATGTTTATACCATGTTTATGACCTTTGCATTTCTTCACGCAAAAAGGGAAAGTGTTATGTTTATCAATAGAATGGCTTCAAATCATAATTCAGTTTATTTTATTTATATTACTACAATTCACAACAAGCATTATCTCAAAGCACTCAGATACTCAGAACTATACAATCAGACCAAACCTGTACTATCTTGTTGTTGTTCGATCACAGTTACATTACAGTGCAGTTAATATTAGTTCAAAATGGCAACTGGTGAAAAAGTTTTCTATTGTGGCTCCAAAAAATGTACTTTGTTAAAGTAGTTTTTTTTTCTCTTTTTATCTTTATTGTGTACAAGATGACATTACCGTGGGAAGAAATTTCCGGGTCTTTGTGATGTAAAACGATAATATCACAATAAATAATTTCAAAGTCTTATCTAGAAATTATGTGACATTTATCTTGCACAAATAAACACCAAAATATCATCTTGTTGTTAACTGATATGAGTTAGGAAAAGGGTTATCAAATAAAAATACAAAACTGGACATTTCTACAATTAATGAAAAGAAAAGACTGAAACTGGTCACTAAATCACTAAAAAATGCAATTTCTTTTAATATCTGTGTCTTTGGACTTCCGAGTGGGAATGAAGCACTTAATTATTTTCCTCCTAATGTAAGCGTTAAATTTAATTGAAATCTCCCAAAATATTTAAGGAAAGGAAACTAGGAAGCTGAAGACCAGGGTGGATTTAATGTGGGTCTATCTGGGGAAAATTTAAGTTTGCTAATGAACGAGCCAGACTCCAGAATTAAATATAAAAATCTGAGGAGTCACCTGAAATCACTAAAATTAAGTCTAAAGGTGCTTTAACAAGGTATCAAGAATGTACAAGTTTAGACAATCAGGTTCATGCAAGTTTTTACCAATGTTGTTGTTTTTTTTTTTGTCCTCTGATAATTTTTTGTTTTGCAAAACGTGATAAAAATAATCCATAATCAAAAATATGTAATCACAGAATTTCCTAAAGATTTACAGTGAGTAATAAAATGTATAGCCTGCTTAAAACTACTTTTAAATAAATGTCTTTAAACCTTATAGTCCTTGTGCATAGCAGATGTTTGATTTATTTATTCTAAAGCTACATTCTTTAGCCATTGAATAGGTTTGAGCCATTTATATTACTAAAGCATTTGGTGTCAAAATATAAATTCTGTTAGAATCATGGGCGTATTTAAAACAAATAAAATGTATTTAATCGGTGCTAAACCATTTATTTACTTCAGATACAATCTGTACAGTTTCTGAGCCCCTGGCTCTTATTTCTCATATGCTTACAAAGTAGCCTTTGATTTTCTGTCATGTGTTAATTACCGTATTTTGCCATTTAACCGGGAGCTTTGTGCAAACTAATTACAGGGTAATGATTGTGAGCTTGGAGCACAACGATTTTACTTTTTATTCCATTTGAAAGAACAGCAGTCATCTCCAGTTTCTTATGGCTCACTCTGTTTCATTCCCATCAGCTTGTTCGTTGATTCACGGAGTAGACATGGTGCAGGGCTGTAATTGTTGTGGCTTTGGTGCTGTTAATTATGGCAGAGAGAAGCTGAGCCACAGCCAAGGTCCATAATGGCGACTGAGACTGCATGAGGAAAGTAAATGGGGTTTCTTTCACCAGCTGGGGTCCCATGGAGACAGAAGAGTGCCGAGGCCCCCAGTGTAGGCCAGCAGCCTCAGGGCTTCTGGGCCATATGGACACAACACTTTAACTGGCCTTTATTCTACACCTTGGTCTTTTAATCAAACCAAAGCCCACTTCCTGTGCCTCTTATTGTATGATTTTTACAGTAATTGTTTTGGTTGTTTTCTCTTAAAATGAATTGAAATGGACTGGAATGGCTACCTTTTATATAAAGACTGCTGAACACAACAGTTTGACTCTTGATGTTGAAAGATTGGAAAGCAAAGTTGCTCATCAAATTGAAACAAATATTAAAAATACTGGAGAATTGTGTCTCATAAAGGAAAATCTATTTTTTGACTTTGTTTTGGGAAGATTCTGCATAAAATATGACAAAAAACTAAGTGAAAAAGGAAAATAGACAATCTTTGTTAAATACTTAAACATTTCAAATATTTGGTTTAAAGAAATTAAAGTTGTGGTAGTTTTATTATTTACCAAAATAAATCAGTGCATGAATGAAAAATTTTAAATATCCATATTTTTTCTATCTTCCACTAAGTTAATTTAACAGTAAATTACAACTAATTAAATTGTAAGTAAATTTTAATGCTTTTCTCTTTTAATAATTATAACAATATACATAAATAAAAATGAATAAATGTGGAATTAAAGAAGTAATTGGCCTCAGTGTGTGTCCATATTTTTTTTAATTAACAGCTGTGCTGAAAAAATGTGATTCATAAAAAAATAATATATACCATGTGTTCCTTAAGAATATCACCAACAATTAGATCCCTTCTGGCTGAGCGAAACAAAGCCTTGAAGGGTACAAAAAGGAGGAGGAGCCATTACATCCACATCAATGAGTGCTTACATGGAGGTCTGAGGAAAAGCACGTGTGTTTCTCTAAATATTGTGAGGCCCGCAGCAGCTTCCAGCACAATGTTTGAGCCCAAAGAAAGCCCCCCAGGCCTCTTTTAGCATTTACACAGAGAGAGGTTAAAGACATGTAGATCTTCAACCATGCAATGCCTGAAGGGGGCCATACACACACACTTAAGCGCTCACACAGCTTGCATATGGATCATTAGGCACAAGAGGGTAAAAATTACACCTAATAGCTTCAACAGATGGAGTATTTTTTCCATCATGCTGTGTACAAACAGATCTTGAGAAAAACCTTATTTAGGTTAAGTTTGTCAACGAAATGGGTCATTTGACAATCACTACCACTGGAGAGGTACAGGGACGTTTCGTACAGTTCTTGTCTGTCTAAATATTGTGCAGCCTCTTGTACTATGGAGAAGCTTGGATGTCTACTGATTTTGTCTGAGCAGAGTAAATCTGAATTTAAGATTAAAATATATTTTTTTTTTCTTTAATTTTATAAATAATTGTTGTTCATAAATTTGTGATGCTTTGTTGTGGCTTTACATTAATGTTTTAATGGGACTAATGAATTAGATATTCATTGACAATGTGTAACTTTTCAGAAGGTATTCTCATATAATAATTTTTGTCCATGCCCTGCTTCCACTAAAAACATAGACATAAAATAGCAATCACAGGGGAGAACATCTTTTATTTCTGACCAGATTGCTCTGCTTTATGAGGACGCCAAGCCATTGCTGAATCCTATCACAGGGCAGTGTGCGTACTTTAAGTCCAAATAATTTATTGCGAAATACCCTTCTTTCTTTTTCTTTCTGTCCTGCTGTTTCTGTGAACTGCACAGGCAAAGTCCCAGGGTGAGCTTGCTCTTCCGTTGAAAATGACAACCGTTCCCTTACACTTTTTGCCGCACCATTGTGTGCTTTATGGTTTGTATAGGGAGAGTCACTGTGTAGCATTTGACCTCGTCTCTTACAGTACTTGAATATGATGATGGCTGTTACATGACTGGAATTTCAACGGCATAATCTCTGGTCCTGTCTCCGGTGGAGCCAGACGCCATATACTCAAAAAAAGTAATGCTCTGGAGAGCAGGAGGAAAGAACAAATATGTTATCAGCATTCACAAATTATCTTTCACTCAATTTTCACATATTCTTTTTTTTTTCTATTAGAAAATGTAATTCTTATATAGTAGTACACATACAGTGCATTGGATTGTTTTGTGTTTTTTCACATTATGGCTAGAAACTTCAATGTATTTTGTTGGTAATTTATGTTACTGACCAACACCACACAAGAAAATAATACAAGGTTGTTATAAAGAAAAATCTGAAAAGTATAGCCCGCTTTTGTATTTAAACCTGTTAACTCTGATACCACTAAATAAAATTCAATACAACTTTTAAAAGACCAAAAGAATATGCAGGCAGATAAGATGTACAACTGTAGAGCAGAGTTGACTTATATAACTATATCTCAAACTTATTCAGTCTTGTGCTCAATCCTTCAATCTTTCGCCCAAAAGTGAAAATAAAATGACACAGCTGTAAATCTTCCAAGCTGTCCACCAGCTGGACTGACTGGATTGGTTAGGGATTCATTAACCAGAGATGCAACTAAGATGCTTCTCTGATTAATGGTAAGTGGAGAAAATGCAGAGAGTCACATATAAAGAATTTATTGAAATGATAACTAGTAGGTGCTTACTCCTCAGATCTGACCTTTTATGGAAGAGAAAGCCAAGCTGAAAGAGTCCCATTTAAAGTTTGTGTCAAAATGACCTAATTTAAAACCAGATGAAAATCCAACTGAGATTTGTCACAAAACTTCAAAATTGATGATTTCTACCTGATCTGTCTGAAGCTAAGCTGCTGTGTAAAGAAGCATGAGCAAAAAGTCAGTTTTTAGATCTGGAAAGATTTTAGAGACACACTAAAACAACATACAGTTGTTACTGAAGTAAAAGGTGGTTCTACAATATGTTTATGCAGGCAGCTTAAATATAAATAGGTGCAACATTTTTTTTAAATTTTAATTTCTGCAATCTATCACAAAATCTTGATTAAAATTTGTATTTGGAACATAATAAAATGTGAAAAATTTGTAAGGGTCTAAATATTTTGCAGGGGATTGTAGATCATTGTTTACAGAAGCGTGTATAAAAGAGGCCTTCCAAATAGTCCATTAAACTGACTCGTACTGCAATCTGCCAGTTGTTGTTTTACATTATGAACACCAAACAATGACGGTGAAAGCTTTAGACAGCATGTTCTCATCCATTTACCTGCACAGCTTTTTTGGAGACAATAGTGTATTTGAGTTGCTAAACTGTGTAAAGGACACCTAATGCAAAAGCTGAAAATTAACAACATAATTAAGTGGTGAAACCATAATGGCATTTCGTATTTACCGAAACAAGAGTGATATCGATCCCAGTCAGGCGCTGATTGATCCCCAGATAGATGGGGTTAGCTTAAGTATTCATCAGCCGCCCAGTGGAGAGAGTTGTTATTGAGGGCAGGTGGTTCGAGGCTGCGAGTTAAAGCTATTAGACTCCTGAGGCCTTCTGATAATAGGCTGTCACTCACAGATAGACACTGCTGCAGTATCCATCAGACACTCACACAGAAATTGAAGCAGCCTATGAAGTCTAAAGAATAACTTGCAATCACCGGAGTCATCTGGAATACAGGATGTAGGAGTTTTGTAGCCAACAGCCATAAGGCCTGACTGTCACAGTCTGTTGGAGTTTGAGTTCAGTTTGTTTATTTTGTTGCATCTCGTGTTTCATTTATTTATGTGGTCTTGATTTCTAATGTTACTTTTACCTAAATGCTTTAATTTCCTGACTTTTTTCATATATGTTCATTTACTCACCTGTATTGCATCTAGAAATCAAGTTCTCAGGATATATACATCTTGGTTTCTGTCACATAATGCCATATTCTTCCATTACCCTCATGTCCACTCAGTTTATTAAACATGATCTTTTTTGCTCCATATGTGGGGCTTCACATCATGACTGAGCGAGGAGCACAATTAAGCAACTTTGAGTTGAATCAATGGAAAACTACACACAAGTTCATTTCCAAGTATTTTTGATTTGGTACGTGATGTTTATGCTTCAATATTCATTCTACAGGAAACTGTGATGCTGAAATATTTAGAAGAGATCCCAGAATGGCTGATTTATTACACCCAACTGGCTAAATCTTGCAGTTATCAAAGTTGGTCCGAGTTCCTGAAGATCTTCCTCATGCAAGGTCAGACACCTATTGTCAAGCACTATATTACATTCACCCGCAACTTATGAAATCTATGCATTTCAATGAGCTTTTCTGTTTTCTAGGTGCCTTTATAAATGTAAAAACTGAACCATTTTCATATTTCTTTTAGTATTTATTAGAGTTCAGATTTTTCAAGTGGTGTTTATTAGTTATCAGTAATAAAAATAAAAAAAATTCCCTTCTACATTTGGTATTATGTCTTTGTGCATGTAGCCATTTTTCAGCATTCACTCTGTCCAGGTGGAGTAATAGAGGCATACCCCCCTTCAGAGAATGTCACCCATGTGACTGTAGATATGCTCCTGGAGCCCAGCGGTGAGGTGACCATTCTGTCCTGGGGAGAACAGCTGCATGGCTATTGTCATCTAGACATTGTGGGATCCATTATTGCTAAGACTTCTGTTCACCAAGAGACCCTGCACTCTATCTGCATGCGTGTGGCTCACGTTTGCCAGCAGAACTATATCATGGGTTATGTATCTGTTGGCCTGGCAACCTTTGTGGACCACAGCACCATGACGCAGAAGGTGAGACTCACAGAGGTAAAGAGGAGGACTCAGGGTGTCGTGATACATATGATCTGGTTTGTTACAACCCATATTGGGTGGAAAAGATCAATTTTTATCCACACAACCAGATAGGTGCCTCCAACATATACTGCTCCCTAGGGATCCAGATAACAAGACGAGGTAAACTGTGGGCACAGGGGCAAAATGTGTCACAAGGCCCTCTAATAAACTGTCAGGTCTTATTGTGTCAATACACTAATTCCACCGTTTAAAGCTTGCCCTTTAACCTTACAATGCAGAGAAATTCAGAAGCTTTCCAACAGTAGGTCATTCTGAAGTGATTTAATACGTTCACGGGGATAACCTGTCAAGTGTTTAACCCCTAGATGGTTACCTGCAGTGTTCTGCTGAAATAAATCACATTATTATACCAACACACTGCTGAAGCCTCTTCTCATTTGTCAGGATTAAGTTTTGTTGAAATCTTCTTGATTCATGATATTTGAAATGGACTTCTTTATGATGGTTTAACCTCTGCTCCCAACATGTGGCGGCATTGACTATTATTGATCTAATCCTGCAAAAATGCTTTGCTTTTCTGCACAAGAAAAGCAAAGCATTTTCTGCACATTCCTAAAGCAGCAGAATGGAGAGGGGAATCACAGAAACTATTTTAAACATGCTAAAAATGTGAAAAGAAAAAAAAATATAAAATTAATATGCTTTTAGCAGCTCATCTGATAGAAATAAACCACTTGTCATCTGCTTGGCTAGTATCAATTGCTTTAAGTGTACATACACACGTATGTGTTATATATCCATATATATAAACTGAGTAAGATTAGCTTTGGGCATGGTTGCCACTAGAGGGTAGTGTGTTCTGGGTTAGACTATAACTGATAGATTAAAGTTATTTTTTGCAATTATTTTTGTACATATACTCAAGATTTATTTGATTAAAAATATTTTGTATTATTGCAGTCAATCATTTTTATTTATTATTCCTATTAGAAAAAAAATAGTAAATGTCTGAACTCGATTCAGATGTAACATCAGTGGCCCCTTTTCTTTTTCAAGATGGATGAAAATCGCCTTTTTATCTCTAATTTTGATCCAATTGTAAAGAATTTGAAGACAGCATAAATAACAATAAAACACCACATGCTTCCATAGATGCAGGAACTTTAATGACAAATTCTTGCCCATCTCTTGACACATACAGACAAAGCTCAGACTAAGGGGAGCCACATGGGCAAACCTGTCTGGATTTAAACATCAATTTAGATTCAAACCTGTTGCTAAAAGCTGCCTACTTTATTTGATGGGAAGAAGTGGGTCACATATGTTTGCCCTTGCAGTCTCAGCGCACATTGTGGAGCAGCAGGGCCACAGCTGCAGCATCGGGGTTTTTAATGAAAATGCAAGGCAATAGAAAACAGGTACAATCCAGGCTTACATTTCCCGCGGCTTTGTTAAGAGCGACAATGGGACGCCGGAGTATGAGTTTTAGGGAGTTCAGTGAATGGCTTGCTGTTGTGTGTCCATCATGCAGGGCCAGGTAACAGCCTGATTCAAACATGCATCAAACCAAGTTGTAACTTCTTTGCCTCCTACACTAAGAGAACTGGATACTCATTGTAGGTTTTCTATACTGCTACAAGAGCAAGTGAAGTTTTTATGTAAAAATAGAGTAAAATTTGGAATTTCAGCAAACATCTCACATTTTTAATTTATACAAAACTATTAAAGTTAATATAAAAAACATTTGTGCTTAAATTTACATCAGGATTTACTTGGAATTCTGTCATTTTGTTTAGTATATTTAAAAAGATCATAAATATATTTATAATTATTTTTGCATTTATTTTTTTTTATCTTTTGTATCTGTAATTTCACTTTCTGTTTATCATTCTTTTGAGAAAATCAACCAAATTGTTTTTTTAATCACAAAAATGACCAGCAGTAACTCTGTTTGCAGAAAAAACATTTTGAGTAGTTTATAAATAAAAATACCACACTAAATCTAACTACATTTCTCAAATGAAAAAAGTTTTTATTATTGGTCATTCAGAGCAATTTGTGTTTTACTTTTTAGTTCATCTTTATAAAAATGCAATAATACCACATCGGTGAATTGTTCATTTTTGTTAAATTATTTCTGTAATACAATTTGACTGTTCCATTTTTTTCAACAATAATTTAAAAATCCAAAAAATGGAAAGTTTCACATATGTTTGCATTCTGGTAGAGAGAAACTCGGTTTACTGTAGGCTCAAACTTGCTGCAATTTGCATCCAGTGGCAGGAGCGCTTGCTTTGACAAATAGGAACAGCTAAAGGAGGCAGCCGGCTGCCACTTAGTTATTAACAACTCCTTCACTGATGATTTATTTGCCACTTTTGAAGAAAGGGCATAGCTATTAGGTTATTATCTGCAAAATTAGCCCAGTTTAAGTAGAAGGCTATGTCCATACCTGACCCCTTAATATACTTATAATGATGCCATTTACCATACATATCTGAACTTTGGTTTTCATCAGACCTGAGCCAGGCGAAGCGCCCAGGGCAGACTCAATCCACATATGAAGAAAAATATGTGTTTGCTTGTGTCATCATATCACCTCATTACCTAAACATGTTAGACACACAGAGCTACATAACTGGTCTTTTGTCCGTCTCTCAGTGTGAATAAGAATCATTTGTTGAAATGCTCTATGCTTTCTCCTTACTTCACATGTAGTTCATAATGTCTTTTTGACAGATATGGGGAATTGATCTGGACATTGGATTCAGTAACCAGCTTGCCATGACCCAGATGCTACTCATGGTGACTGGAGGAACGCTGAACTGGCAAACAGGCTGTTTCGAAGTGCCAGTGCCAGTCAAAGACAAATCTTCTGAACAGAATGATGCAGCAGAGGTGTGACAATTTTAATTACTAAAATGTATATTTTGCATAATTTTAAAGATTATTTTTTTCTAAGTAATAATAAAGCCCTTATTTTTAATTAGTCTGAGTCTTAAGCAAGCAATTGCAAGAGATCAGTGTGTTTTGTAAAATCTCTGCTTTTTGAAAACACACCTAAAAACTGTAACTACACAGTGAAGTCAATGAGTGTTTAGGTGCTGAATTCATTATCATTTTGATAGATGAGCCTAAATAATCAACACATTAATAATTCATACCATTTTCATTATGCATGCTTGAACACTTCATCAACCTGGTGCCAGGACTTAAACAATGGAGTTCTTTTATTAGCAGTATGCCTCAGTTTACGCTTGTTAATCTGCGACTTGTATTATTTTATCAAACATTCATTTAGCTGGTGGCCTGGTGCTTCACTGCAGCAGTTGAGCCACTTCTGTTGTTAATGGCTTCAATAGTGGCCATCATTAGGGACCTGCATATTACAAACACAATTAAGTCCCTGTTGGACACTTTTATTGTTGGGTAAGGCCCCTGCCTTTGACAAGTGCAAACACACAGCCTTCACAGCGAGTTATGGGCTATAGCTCCTGAGCTCCTCAAGACTCAGGCCTGCTCTCTTTGTCTCCCAAAGGTAGCTGAGAGCAGACAACATTTTATCCTCCCAAGACCTGACATTTTTAAATAATCCACCTTCCCAAAACAAAGTCACCTCTATGATTAGAATTCTTCTATTATAGTGATATGTTTTGTGTTTATGGAGCCCATTTGTACTTCTCTTTTCCTGAAACTGCATGTTACACTCTTTGCTTGGAGTGTAACAGCTAAGCTAACCCATTTGATCTAACTGTCGCACCCTATAGGTAATGAAGAAAAGACCAAAAGTTTTCTTCATATGCTGTTTACTCATCAGGTTCATTGATCATTAACAGAAACTTAACGGTCACCCAATGGATTAAAAACCTTTAACTTTTTGATAATAAACAAACTAAAACCTTTTTATACATAACATCTTAATATAATAAACATAGAATAATAGAATTGTTCGTAAGTCAAAGCTTAGAGCCAGCCTTCATTAAAACTCACAGCATTTTGCTGCTGTTTATCCCTCTATTGACAAATCCTTACTAAGAAACAAAGCTATTTAGCTGTGCATAAAATTGGTAAATCATCACCAAATTTGTACATTCAATGTTAATATGACATACAACACCATATATGATATGACAAACAAAGTAAACCAAAATATTTCACTTGTGTTGTTGTCTTTTTCTTTCACAGCATCTGGTGGACAGTCGCTATGCAGTCGTTGGGATCCGTTTGTTTCATTCTAACCTTTCCATGTTGTACCACAGTATGTTCTTCAAGATGTGCACATTTAATGGCATTGTGTTTGACAAGAAGGTAAGAATCATATTTTTCTCTTTTTTTAAGAAACTATTAGCAAGTTACAGTGAAACATTTTGATAATATGTTAGCATCTTTCCACTGCATCAGCGGTTAGCTTCAGATACATCACATGTCAAATGCAAAAGTAAGTAAACATGTAAGTTAGACCTAGTTTGGCGTGCAGTAGAGTTTATGATTAGGCTAATGCTACTGTCATCGTTGGAAAACAGACAAATTTATTTTACTCGGTCTTCAAAAATCATATTTATCACTCGCAAACCCCACAAAATCAGTTAGAAAGCAACCCTGAAGATGAATTTCTGTCCTGGAACAGTTTCTCACTGAGCCTGAAGTCTAAATAAATGTTTGGCTGCTTCACATGTAAAGCAGAATGAATGCTGAAATAAAAAAATAAAAAAACTTTGTTGTTTTTTTAACTGCCGATGTTCCGATCTTATTCAAAAAGCGACACCAACATAAGATTTTAACCTTTGTAAGTGAACCTTTAGCTACAATATTTGTATGCAACATATTATAAGAAATATTAATTTTAATTATATGTTCCTCATGGTACTTAACTTGCTCATAGATCACTCTATTTAATAAGTCCTGTAATATTGTGAGAATAAACTGAAGGGAAAAAAAAACATTGTTGTGTCTTGGATCTACTTTTAATATTAAATTTGTGAAATTCCACTTCAGGAAAATCAAGGCACTCTTTTTGCTCTCTATGACAGCTCTGAGCGAAGCACCATTGGAATGATGTGAGTAGTTTTTATTGCATCAGTTTTTATATTATGTCAAGAATGAAACAAATGTGAGCTCTTTAAAACTGAGTGGTGGAAAACCTTGAAAAAAACATAAAGAAACATGTTGGCAAGTGCTTGAAATTCATGAAGAAAAGGTTCTGCATTCCTTCATTGGCAATAATGAATTCCTCCTAATATCTCATTTAAAAGAGAATCATTCAGTTTTTTGTAGTGAGGTTTTGTTACATTCTCACAGTAGATTACCCTCTTGGCATCTTCAGTTTGAATGAAACAATAGTTATATTTTCAGCCAAGTGCTCATCAGATTGGTTACATGTAACATAGAATTGCCCAATACTGCAATATTTAGCCAGAGTAATTATCTATTCAAAACACAGAACTGTTTAAAAAATATTTCAGTCAAAACCTCTTGACTGAAGCACCATTGGGATGATGGACCACTTTAAAAAGATTCAAGTATTCCTTCAGCACCATACATTTTCAGATTAAGATAAAGAGAAGTGTTCATTAAAAGGCAACAATTGTTTCTGTCGTGGCCATTTATGTTAAATTTTGTGAATTATAATTTGTAACAATTTAGTTTTGGCTACGTTTTAAGACACTTTAATTATGTATTTTTTGTCACTATTTTTTCCAAGAAATAAATTATATTTTTTACAAACATTGAAGAAGTGCGTTCAAAATCACCGCCTCTTAACACCCACGGCCTTAGATGGAAATTTGAATTTATTTCGGAAAATAGAAGGCCGTGACAGTTTCTCTGATCTTTTTTGACCGCAAAGTGTATCTTGGTATTTTATTTTGCAGCTGTTCTCTTTATAGAAGCAAGTATGGGTTCAGAACTTATAATTTCACTTCATTACAACAGCAAAGCACCGAAGAATATTAGAAGGGCAATTAGTTTGCCAAGACCCAATGCAAAAACAATTCTTTACAGGATTAAGATGCCACCTCTGGTTTTGTAAATATCAGAGACTCCACAGGTTGTTAAGCAGAGGGTTATTCAACATATTTATCACAGAAATCCGTTAGCTTGCACAGCGCTGGAACAGTTAAATCAAGCTGTGCTCATCCCCCTATAGACCAAAGATGCTATCTGCTGAAAGTTTCATTTACCCACAACCATCAAATGAACAAGGTGATTGTTTCTTAGCAGGCAACAAGGGGATCATTAGTAAACTCGTTTGTTTGGAATGTTGTTATTAGAGCGGTCTCAGAGGATCTCCAGGGAGCTCTGGTGACCTTTGCTCAGAATTTGTCAGTCATTCATCAGGAAATATTGTCCTCCAAAAAGGAAGAAGAAACCAATTTCGAGGTACTGTGTTAACGACTTAACGATTTCCCCTCATCCATGTCATAAAACCTTCATAATCTTTTATAGCTTGTCAGTTGGAATGTGTCTGTTTAATAAAGTGCAAATAATTAATATTGTTCGTAATAAGAACAATACTACAGATAATGTTTTGTCGGTAAGATAATGCTTATCAAAGAAAATATGTCTTGTACTTTACTTTTTTTTTTACTTTGTTTCTATGTAGGTGGTGATCACAAACATAGAACACATGCTGGAGATGATTATTCAGAACAAAAAACAACAACTGAAGGATGAACCTGCTGCTTAGACACAAGCATTGAACCTTAGAGATATGTACAGGCTGATAAAATGTAGATGTCTAAATAAACATCTTAATATTCTGTCATGAATCTGTTAAATGTTAGAGTTTCTGTCAGCTACCTTGACATACTTTATATAAGAAACGCATAAACATTTTCTATTAAAAGAATATATTTTTCTACATACAATGGCATCCCAAAGTGTACATACCTCTGTTAAAATGAGACAAGAATGAAACAAATGTGAGCTCCTGTCTTCTGAGTCGTGGTGAATAAATGTCCCATTTTCAATGGAAAATGTAAGTTGATTTATTGTGATGTTATTTTTTACATAAAAAAACAACATTTTAACATAGACAGCTGGACTTTTGAAAGCTGCTGTAAAACACTTTTATTGAACCTTCAGATTACAACCTGTATCTGTTCTTAGAGTAGGCCTGATGATGATGATAAAGAACAGCGAGAGTAGCTTGATAGACAGATAATGATATTTAGTAATGGTTTCTCTGCACCGTTTAAGAAAGAACAGATTACTTTGGTGATTGAGCGAAAAAGTGATTGGCGCGGTCTGTAATGTTATCCTCAAAGGACATTTTCTGTAAGTAGACAATTAAAAATAAGCTGCATAACTGTTGTGAAACGTGAAGACTTTTTTTTATTTTTTTACCTTTTTATTACTGAGTATGAACGAGATACTCCAACTTACTGCTATTTTAGTGACTTCCTTATTATTTCTAGTTTTAAATGGTAATTGTTTTTGGAGCATATCCAAATAAATATGTCAGAGAATTTGTAACAAAGAGCTTACATCTAAATTGCACAGCTTCCTTTCTGTACCTGTATTACCATGGGCAGAGAGTTTGCTGATTTATAAATAAACCTATATTGCAAAACTGATAACTATCAGCTCAACAGAAATTTGTAGCTGTCCATATGGTCAGGTGGACAACTCTTCAAGAAAAGCACATATGACCAGATTTACATTAGGACAGATTAAGGTGAGACTTTTAATCCATGAAGCTCACCTCTAATGGTTGGATGTTGAACACAATTTTGTGTTCCTAAAGGATGATAATCCCAAACACAAATCCACACTGTTTTTGTGAATAGCAGATCAATAGTATAGAAGGTCAAAATTAAAATAGTGGAGTAGTCTCAATCTCAATTGTGTTGAAAGCCTATGGATCAGATTAAGGGTTTTCTGTATGTGAACCCATACAGAAAACTCCAAGGAATATTTAAATTCCCGAAACACGTTCGTGTACGTTCATAACGCTCCGAATGAGAACCATATTTACCGCGCCGTGTTTCCGACCGGACAAATTTAAACGAAGTACCAGGTTAGATTTAAAGTCGATTTAAATCTTGAAGAGGCGGAATGTGACCTAATCACTGATCTTAGATGATGTAAATAATGCTGGTTCACCATGTGTTTCCCAGCATGCGGGTCTTTGTAGCAGGATGTTTTTAAAGCTTAATGTTTTGGAACCTTGACCACCGGAGTTGAGCTTGTTAGCAAAGTTCAGCTGAGCTCCAGGAGTCAGGATCTGCCATGGTGAGCGAGCAGTGCCAAGCCTTGTTTCCTAATGTTTGCTCTGTTACACCTGTCACCAGGATGTCAGGCTATTGCTGAGGATCTGGGCTTCTTCAGTCCGTTCTTATTCTTAATCTAAAATACTTTAAGACAGTATAGCTTGTACTCTTTTATATTCATTGTGTATTATTTAAGGAATAGTTTGTGATTTGTGAAATCGTTTCTCAAAACACAGTGTTTTGTATGATAAATCCAGATAAATTCAGAGTACTCCAGTTGCAGTTTTTTTCTTTTCCAGATATTTTAAATTTCCATCTGGAGCCGTTTCAAGGCAGCCCAGAGTCCATAATGTAGTAAACTAAACCCTCGAGATAAATGCTGAGTAAAAATCTGCAGATTAGATGCAAACCGTAGCCTTCTAAACGCTAAGATGACTCCTTGTTCTTATTACAGAAGTCATGAAGGAGTTTTTGCGGAAGATACACAGCATCTTTTTGCAGGTCGCTCTGTTTCCGAGCAGATTTGGTAAAACAGGTCCACGGCCAGCAGCTTCAGAGGTTTTGACCTGCCACCTGCAGCAGCGGAGGCTCCCACCCTGGACTTCATTCTGCGTGCGCTACAGCTCCATCCACAACGACCAGTTTGGCCTGTCCAACTTCAACTGGAGAGTTCAGGGATCCAATTACCATATATTGCGAACCGGCTGCTTCCCTTTTGTGAAATATCATTGCACCAAAGCACCTCCACAGAACCTGGACTTTGAAGACAGGTTTTTTACTATGCTGAAAGTTATTAATCTAGGTGAGTATTTTCAGAGTTGGTTACAAACAACTTTTTTCTTTATGTACAAGTCTAAAGGTATATTTGATTTAATTATTCCAAAAAATGAAAAGTGCCTGAAGAGTCCCTATTTCAGTATCTAAAATAGTAACAAACCAACATGTTACAAATACCTAAGATGAATTTCTTCTTTTTCATTTATAAAATACTAGGCAATCACAGATTAATTCCAAACAACATAAAATCTGGGTGTAGAATTTTGAAATTGAAAACTTGCAGGAACTCTGCTGTAAAGATTTGTATGGAAGATGAAAACTTCAGACTGGAAATAATAGACATGTCTCATTGTTGCAGGTATCCCTTGTTTGGCCTATGGCATTGGCTGCTGGATGGTGGTAGGAGCTGCAGAAACAGTGCTGACGAGTGTTGGACCTGTCACTGTCTATTTTGCCTACAAAGAAGAAGAAGGTGCACAGTACTGAAAGTGGAGGCTGCTTTACTGTTAAAAACACTAGTGTCTACCAGACTGCTGGATTTACTCCTCCTGGTAATGTCCCGCTGTACCTGGAAGTGACATCGCTCTGTCTGACACTGGTGGTCTTGTCTGACTGCACATGTTGTTTTATGGTAAATTATTAAATATTTAATGATAAACTGAAGGAGTAATAAATTCAATTACACATCATACATATATGTGTCAGGTAACTGGAAATTTGTTGTCAAAATAAAATATTAGTGTAGTAGCTCAAGGTATATAAAATAAATGAGATGACTATTAATTGTTTATCTGTGCCCTTTCTTAATTTTTTCTTACTAAGCTTAAGGTATTTGCCAAGAGCAGGTGAAAAAAATTGCTCGATATGTAAATTTATACACCAAAAGCAGAAGTTGCAGTGAAAAATGGTTCCACGTCGTACTGAACACATAAACACACTAGACTTTTTATTTGTAAAAGAAAAAAAAAGCCCATTTGTCCCACTTCACAATTCTTCACTAGTTTGTGTTGTTTTATTCCATAAAATGCCCCCCAAAACTGTGAAAAAATTAAGGAGTACTTCCCTGCAAAACTGACTAAAAGTCAATTAAATTAATGTTTATTTATTGCCAAAGTATGCCAACTGCATAACTAACAAAGTATACACAGCAACATCGATGTGGTTTGGAATCATGGCTTTCTGTGATTTGTATTGAAAAAAAAAAATATTCATTTATGTCAGCTCCCTAAAATATGCAAATAGATACAGAAAATGGTTCAGTTAGTGCCTAATCAAATAACTATTGTCTATATGATGAGGTGTTGTATTTTGCTTGGGGAAAAAAACAAAAAAAAAACAAGAATCCCTAAAAGCCCAGAACATTTATTTAAAGTTGAATTAGTGGTCATCGCGCACACAACAGATAGTCAATAGTGTTAGAGGAAAATCAGTGACAGGACAGCTCTGATAAAATAGGTTTTAATTACCAAAATGTGTCCTTTGTCGGAAGCCGTGTACATCCCTTCCTTCGGGCCTTCACTGGCCTTTGATTTCTGGTAATGTGCTTTGCTGACAGCGCAGGCTTAGGCGCGTTTCAGACTCCTGTGCTCTCTGAGAGGCAGGCTGACAAACTGCCGTATTGATTTCTCCCCTCAGCGTCTCCTGTTCCTAGCGTTTATCAGCGACCTCAATTTTCAGGCCTTGGCCTCTTCATTTTTGACGCAATGAAAATGAACGAATAATTTCTTGTTGTACATGGAAATCAATGCACCTTTTGACCTCTTTGTGGACACGAAGGCTGCGACATGTCAAGCCATTCATCCTTATCTTGAGTGATCTGTTTTATGAAAGTTGCCCATCGTGCATAATTTTTTCTTTTTTTTTTTTTTTTTTACTAAACCGGAACCAGAACTGTTCCGGTTGTGCAAAACACTGAAAGAAAGAAACTAAAAAATCGTAAAAATTTTTTCGGGTGGTATTGTTACCTTGGTTGTATGCAAATTATTTGAATGTCATGCAATATGCATGCACAAAATCCTCTTCAACAGCAGGATGACACCAGACTATCACTTTAATCAAACTAATTGCCCTGAACAAGGAACATTTAGACACACTTACAGAAATCTGATCCTTGGTATCAGGCTCCACTTAAATCCTCCTCCTTTCATTGGCAGCCTTTCATCAGGACTGAAAGTGTGCATGGGGAATGCTCAGGCAACCATGTCTTAATTACTCATTGACCCTTTGACCCAAAGTGGCGCATTGATACCACGTTGCAGCCCAGCACGACTGCGCGGGGTTGCAGCCGTCTTGCAGCCTTTGTATGCAGTCTTTACAGGATGACGTGAAATCCAAACTGCGGAGCATGTGAGTGCCTTGTATTTGTTTTCAGGGCTTCACCTTTGAGTCACTCTAAACTGCGGGGGAGGTCTCCCCTTCAGGTGGGACAGAAGCTTAGCATTACATATTCAAGCTTAGACGCTACCACCATGGGTAATGGTTATCTGAACTTCAAATGGTCTTCTGTAACTTAACAAAACATGGCTTGCACTTAAGGCGGGATTGATGCTTTTTAATAGTCTGGTCCCATATTGAAGTGTCTAAATTACCCAACAGGCATCTAAAGTGGTAATGAGCAAACAATTAATGCCGGTTTGGCATGTTTAATTGCGAGCTGGTGCAGATAATAAGTTTTGTCAAGGTGAAATCTTTAAATACTTGTACTATTTAGAGTTTAGGTAAGTAAAACAGAGCAAGTGCTCAGACCGAGGAGTGTTAATGTAAATTGTTAATGTTGAGCAGTGAAATTGCTAATCAACTTTCAAAGAGTTGTAATTATTTTCTAATTAGCTGCAGCATTCTTCAGTTTATTTGGCCTTAGAAAAAAAATAACTTTAATCTCATTGAAATAGTTGATGGAGCCACTCTGCAAATGAATTATTTAGCATGCCAGCGTTTTCCCTGTCATTCAGATATATGGCTTGGCAGAAACAATTATTGTGCGAACAACCCCTGCAGCTAATGCTGGAGAGGTTATCATTATATGAGCCTGTGGAATCGGCCACCAGCGTCGTTTCCGTGCTTACTCTGCGAGCAGCGGGGACACCTGAGCCATCACTTAGATCACTTTAAAGAAGGCACTGGAATTACATGTCGATGTTGATGTCTCAGCCAACGGTGTCACAATATTTACTGTGAAAAGATGTAATTTTTTTTCCCATACTGTGACAACTGAAACACAAGAGACTCATTATTTTTCGTCAAGAGAGGTCTCTGGATGTATAAATCTCATCCTATAGGAGTTCATATTTTCTGGCCTGTTGCCACTTTTTTTTTTCTGCCAATGATGGTGTGTAGTGTATTCTTTAACCCCAGAGTAACCTTTTTTTTTATCTGTAACCTGCTTTACATAATAAGTTCAGGTTGAGGAAAGAGAAATATTTTTATGTTGCATCTAGGGAGTCGAAATATTTGTGAGTTGAGGTTGTTTTGGTCCCAAAGCGCATCCAGCTGCAACCTCTAACAAATTAGCAAACTAAGCAATAACTTTTAAACTAATTATGCTATCGAAGTTCCAGTTGTAGTTTAATGTTTCACTGTTTTTACATATACGGTTGAGTCAATGGCCCTGAGCATGTGCACTTATCTCCATACCCATCTTGCATTTTTTCAGTTAAAGTTGATTATTTTCTTTTTTTGGTTTCTTTCTTGTTGATGTTGCTGTATCACATTAAACTTCATTCATACTTAATGTTTACTGTGTTGACATTAAGGGAGAAATGTATCTTAATAGTTTTTTTTCCACTTTCTTTCAGGAGAGTGAAATGTGCTATCCATTTTTATTACATATTATGCAGTATTTAAAGTTTCAGCTCATTAAAAAACAGACGACCTCGACACCCCCGAAGGCTGTCTTTTACCCCCCACTAGCATGCAGTCATGCTCTCCTAGCCACAGGCTGTGCTTGATCTGTTTTTTTCTTTTGAGTTAAAATTGAAATATTCTGAAATATTTATTTATTTGTTTATGTATTTTATCTCAACCAAAGAATAGCATAATGTCTTGGTGGCTTATACACAACTGACATAGCAGATAAGAAAAACAGAAAGTCAGTTTTCTTTTTATAGTGCAATTTGGGAGACGATACTATTTTTTATTGTTCATCTGAACATAGGTTTTTAATACATACTACTCATTTCCAATAAAGCTGGTCAGAGAACAAACAAATGCAAAATGTTGTGATTTGCACAATATTTAATCTCTACATTTAGATGAAAACTAAATGTACAAAACAAGGCAAATTAAATACTGAAACCACTGCACACTTTGTTTTTTGTTTGTTTTATTGTTACATTCAAAATGCATATGATATTTTAAGCAAGTAATTGGTCTTGACTGCAAGCTTACCAGTTTAGTCACTGTATTTGCTGCTGTTAAATAATTGTTGTGACATTGCCTGGTCGAAACAAGTTTCCATAGCAGGATAGCTCATTGACCAAACTTTTTCTTGTAATACTTACATTCAATGGACGCCGATGAAGAAAAGAAAAAGCTTCCCAGTGAAGATTGCTCTTAGTGAAACTCTCGACAAACGATAGCAAAGTTTTTCCTGTGAAGATTCCATAACATTGCATCGGCTTGATGAACTAAGCAAAACCTTCCTGTAAAGATTGGTTGAAAGAGCATTTTGATGAAAAAAAGGAAAATCTTTCCTGTGCAGTTAGATACCCAAAACCTAAAAGAGTTTAACTGTTTTTGGAAAAACATTAGAATTCAAGATGTGCAGGTGAGAAAAAAAAGGCAGTCACAGATAATGCTCTTTTTTTCCTCATTTCGCTTAATTCCCTTAATTCATTGGACAGTATTTTGGAAGTGATGTTTTAGATTACATTTGTATTTCTCAATCACTTTATTTTTTATTTTTTTACAGAATTTTCACTTTACTTTGAGCAACATTGACATCTATGTGTAAAGAAATGTGGCACGTATCCTCGTTTTGCATTTAACAGCCCACCTTTTGTGCCGTTCGATTGCCGTGTTTCTCACTTGCACGGTAAGCAGCAGCCCACGCAGCAAATCAGCTCCAGATTGGGGATTTACATTAAATACACAGATACTGATGCTGCATGCAAACCTAGAAATGGAATAAATCAATTTTGCTCTGAGAAATGTCTGACACGCTTTTTTTTTTTTTTTTTTGATGCGGCGTGATCTCCAATCTTTCTGCAAATGAGCTGCGCTGCCTTGTAATGGTTTCTGCTCCTCGTGGGAGGCCGGCGTCTCAGAAAAGCTGCTGATTGAGGAAGAAATGTAATACAGGTGTAAAGCAGACTTGATAGGGGTCTTACACGAGGGTTATGCATTTTCACAGTGATATACATACTGTTACATATTTATCAAAGAATGTGGAATTTGCCAGCTTGACTCTTTCTGGCCCTCGGAGATTTGCAGGCTTCCTGCTAGAGTGGTGCTAATTCTGTTTGAGATGGTGGCTATTATGTTGAATTAATAGGAATTAAGGGTTTAAATTGGTTAAGTAAGCACTTCATTAATCGTGAGTGGATTGCTGCATGTGAGAGGTTTATGGGATCTGTAGATCACTAGTGCGAGTAGAACTCTGGGTTAAGAAAGTAGGCTGATGCATGGTGTTATGGCAAAAAAACGGCACTCTATAAATGAATTGAGCAAATGTTTTTTGCTGCTTAAGGAAGAAGGGGATTATGTTTTCTATCACTTTTATTTTGTTGAAGTTACTGTATATATCGAAGAGAAATTTTACAAAATATTACAACGGATTTAGATGCTACAG